GTGAGTAAAGGTAATGGGTAATCTTTAAGCGAAATGTAGAATGACGAAGCACGAAGGCGGATTTCCAACGGAATGAGAATCGAGTAGTCGAGCTTCGGTTGTCCTTTTCCATAAACCTTCAAGAACTCATCCACGTCGTCGATCTTGGCTTTGTCTAAGGTAAGATCAAAGTGGTTGAACGCAACACACATGATAGGAGCGCCAGGAGCCAGTTTTTGGATATTGTATTTTTGACCCATCAACGGGTTGATCTTATCATTACCAGAGATCTTCGTCTTAGTCCGACGAGCCTGTGCAAACTTGCTCCGTTTGAGTCTATTGAAATTGGTAATCCAGGACATGGAAATTTCTTCCTCCAATCTTACCCTTGCACGAGCTATTTCAGCCTCAGCATCTTCCATAGTAAATAATGAAGTTTCACGATCCGCGGACTCTTCACCTTTTGGTAGCTCGGATGTAGAGCTAGTTGGCAAACTCTTGTCCAGACTTTGTCTGAAGCCATGGCGGAAGGTATTTGCAAGATTACGCTGGAAGTGATGAGTATGGGTTTTTTTGCCCTTGCGTTCACCGAGGAAACGTCTTTTGTCCACCGAAGAGGACCTTGCAAGATCAGTAGGAGACGGCTGGACCTTCGCTCTTATCTTCTTGGCTTCCTCTTCAAACTGCAACCACTTTTTCTCTCTGAGAACATTTTCCACACGGCCCAACTGGTAAATGAGCCCGAGTTCCGTCTCAAAGATATCATCCTCCAATGAGAGATTGAATTTCTCAGAGCACCAGCGGATCTTTGGGAATAAGATTGGGGGTTTTGCCTCGGGCATGAGTCTCTCAAACTCTGTACAGCTTGACCTGAGATTATCGAAGTTATGCATGATTTGCTTAGTAGCCTTCACCATCGTGATGATATTGTCAATGACTGTGTAGATAAGGTAACGGAAAGGAACGTAGATCTTGATGCTGTTGGATTTCAAGAAACACGTCTCCTGAAGAAGCTCACCCAAAGACGAGTGGGTTCGATGGATGCAAACCAATCTGCACCAAGCTTGTGTAGCTGGGTGAACCACATAGAGTCTGCAATTTAGAAGATCGAAGATTGGTGAGCTTGAGGCGTCTGTGACATTAAGACCCTCTATCTCAAATAAAGTATCAACATCATTCGGAAGCACAAACTTAATAGCGGTCGATTTCACATGAATGTCAAGCTTGACTCGCTTCTGCGTACCCTTCATGCGTTTGAGTTCCGACTTGGTGTACTCCACCTTCACGGTTGGTTGAAATAGCTTGAGCAAACTTCTGGCATAGAATCCACACCATATGAGGAACATGTCAACCATACCATCAGCTTCAGGAACCGTCAAGATTAACTTGTCGGTTTTCTTTTTCTCTGTGGTGACATTGATGTTTTTGATGAAAAGAGCACGACGCTGCATGGAGGTGGTGTCTTCGAGGCCAGTATCTCCAAAGGATTCAACACTCAGAAGATCGCTGAAATCGATATCGTGCTTCATAATTTCGTCATACTCAGGCGACATAGAGGAATCGACTTGGGCAGCGTACTCACTCAAAACAAACACCTCTGTCGTCTTTGCTCTCGAGAAAAAGTGCTGCTCATTTCGATCAAAGTCAACCAAGTAGTCTTTAATGATGATGGCAACACCTTTTCGGTAGTCGGCCAAGTCAGTTTCTTCTCCTTCATCACCGATAGTGTGGGATGGTAAACCGTCCTTGCACATGATAGTTCCATGAATCTCTGAGGCCCTAAAGGTAACTTGGACGATACCTTCGGGTAGGATATCAAGGAAGTCGATAAATGTGATTTCTGGTTTCGAATCAGGTTCGTTGAATGTGGAGTCCGGATCCGTAGTGGTCTCCAAACGCTTTTGTTGTAACATGTGGTTATAATGCTTGATGTGACTGTCTCGTAGCCTTCTCACCACGTAGAAGATCATATCGTTGACGGACTTGATGACAAAGCGCTTACTGAAGATTTTAAGCTTGACTCTGTGGGTATTGAGGCAGTAAGCAGTCATGAAATTCATTTTTGTGGCCACAACTTGATTCTCCTCGACGTCGATAACCAAGTTTTTGATTTTAGCAAACGCTTTAAGGGTAGATGGAGGATCTTCTGGACGAGTATGGAGCAGAAGGATCTTGCCAAGTTCCTTGGAAGAAAACTTGGTAAGGAAGGTGGAGACGCTTGCAGTGGCGGTGACATTGTGGACAGAGGAACGATTGAATTCCTTCAGGTCCATTGCTGGAAGATGGAGAGTGGCTCTTGTTTCCGAGATACCCACCTTCAAAGATGTAGCTCTCATCTTTCGGAGATACTTACTCAACGGCACAGCCAAAAATTGCTTCTGCTCATGTTCAGCAGTTCGCTTAGACTTTGTGCTGGACAGCTTGAGCTTCTCCATAAACGTTTCGATCTGGTCGAAGTAGATATCAAAGGAAGGATGTGTGAGGTCCAAACTGGTTTTGACGTCAACAAAGAATTGGTCAGTATTTCCAGCCTCGTAGGCCCTGAACAAGTCGGACATGTCACACTCGAATAAATAGGTAAGGGAAGGCACATCCACACACTTTGTGTCCAAGCTGAAGACCCGAAGCGAGTTGACATATGCCGATGCCTCCATCAAGGTATTAAGCTTGTAGGACTTCTCTCTCCTTAGGGAAACCAAAGTGCTCGAGACATCAACAGCGATATGTTTGTACTCTGCTTTGAGGTTCTCGACACGGAGTTCCAACGAGGACACTATGGCGAAAGCCTTGACGAACTGGTCCAACATGGGAATCGAGTCGGAGGTGTCGTACGTTGTTTCTGGAGCTTTTTTCGGTTTTGCAGGCGTAATTCCTGAAATCGGCGTGATGTGAGGACCCAGGATGGAAGTCAGCAAGGTGATATCGCTGAGGTCCATCACCATATGGTCTCTCAGGTCTCGGCAACACGAGAAGATAAGCGAGGAGCCGAGCGACACAACCACGTTTTGAAAGATCTTTATCAGATTCTCGTTCGGCAGTAGCTTTGATCGCAGATTCAACAAATACCCGTCTATCACCAGGAGGCTGAGGGTGTAGGTACTGGTGGTGATGTTGTAGCTGCTGTGGAGACGAGTGTAATCGAAGTGGGCAGAAACGTCTGGACTAAAGCCCTCATGGTGAACAGAACAGCGAATCACATGGATGTCCACCTGGTTCATCCAGGTCCGTTTGAGCAACCAGTTATAAGCCCATCCGGGCACCCTGAACTCTAGGTGTTCCGGGATGACCGTCTGCAGCGATTGTGATTCGTCCAGCCCGGCGGAGCTCTTTTTCTGCTCGACAGTAACGTCTATCAACGCAATATGGACCATCCGATACGGCTCTAGCTGCAGCAGCCAGATGTTGAGCCATAGCGTAAGCTTATCTATATGGATGGTGGTATGACGGAGGTTGATGGAGACATTTCGGAGGGAGAACCAGCCCAAGGAGCGGACGGTGACATGGGGGATCAAGTTGACCAAAAATAGAATGGCCGCTAGCGCCACCACGATGGCAACGCCTATAAAGGTAAACATGGGATGAATCTTCAGTGAAAACGGTGATGCATAGGTCGGACCGGTAATGCCGGATGCGCAGACGGAGGATATATGGAGGGCCGGGGAGGCGATATTTGCACTTTTGGAGGAAGAAGTGGCGATGTTTTTCTCCGGAGGGATATCTGGGGGTTGTGCTTTTTTCCACCTTGTGTAACTTGATGAAACTGGAAGTCTTGCTTCGCACCTGCTTGATGTCTTATCTGCTGCAGACCGTTTTCAGCTTAGACGGTGGGAAGTGGTTTGATTGAAAGTGGGGAGTATGTGGGCCTAGTGGAGAAGAAGGGAGGTGTTTGCAATTGAGTTTCACTGTGTATCCTGTCAAGCACGTCAAATGCAGACGCAAGCCGGAGAGACTAAATGGGGCTTATGCGGGATTTGCGTATTTTCCGCTACCGAGAGACATTGAAGGTTTAGAGATTTAGAGATGGTTCAGGCTTTTCGGTTTTTCTGCAGATTTTGACTAAACCTTCAAATTCTTTGGATCTGGCCGAGAGCAATCATGGAGGTGAGACACGGGGCCGGTATACCCGAACGGCTGCCACGAAAAGTATATTTAAGGATTTACGGCAGTGCGCTTTAGCCGAATTTGCATCAATCGAATAGACAGTTTGAGGAAGTGAGACAGTAGTATTACAGAGAAGGTAGATTCAGGATTGGTCAACTTTTAGTGATTTGTTAGAGGAGCCCAGCAATGGTTGCTGCCATTGCCAAGACGAGTTTTGTGAAAGTCTTGGTTATGTTCGTCTGGAAAAATTGGTGGTTGCTGGATACCGCAGCGTAAAGGTGTGGATGCTTGGTTTGTGTTTCTAAGACACGCATAGTTGCTACATGGTGCAAAGGCTGCTTACAAGGGGAAAGGTTGGAATAGGCGAAAAGTGAGGGGAGGTTGTTGAAGAAGAAAAGCAGAGGGGTTCGTTGCATTGAGGCTTTGGATTTGTAGATCTTAGTGTATGGTGGAACTGGACCGTAGCTGGAGGGATCCACAGAGAGGTATGAGTGCATTCCAATGAGTAGCTATAAGTGGTCACAAAAGCTATAGATTCCTCATTTAGTGCTTTAAGCGATCAAAAGTTTATTTCGTCTATTTTCCTCAGAAAAATAGTAAGAGTCCAATGGTCTGTATTGCTCTGTCAGGCTCAATAGAGGCACTTTTCGCAGCCATATAAAGTGCCATACAAAGTGCCATACAAAGTCGGTCAGACCACCCCGCAAAACCGATTAACCACAATGAAATACAACCCTTTGCCCTTCAATTCTTTAAATCAACATGTACCGTCAATTGACAAAAACTCCTCATTGACCCTCTCCAACTCAGCTTACTTGCCAAACCCGTGGTCGTGCGCGCACCACAATCTCGCCACACATACTCAATCACTTACTACCGATCGATCCACCTTATCAATTTCCCAGGCAAACACACCAACCATGGAGGAACTAGGTATAGAACAACCCGTCGTGTCTGCACATGCACTTCCCAGATCCAAGCCTGATTGGGCTCATATGACCGACGACAATTTGGATGTGTATTTGAAGCTCAAGAAATTGGAGAAAGAGTTGGACTTGTTGTTGTTACAGGAGGACTACATCAAGGACGAACAGCGTCATTTAAAAAGAGAGCTTGTACGTGCCCAAGAAGAGGTTAAGCGTATCAGATCCGTTCCTTTGGTGATTGGCCAGTTCTTGGAGCCCATTGATGAAAATACAGGTATCGTCTCCAGTACGACGGGATCCAACTACGTGGTCAGGATCCTCTCGACTTTGGACAGGGAATTGTTGAAGCCTTCTTCTTCGGTGGCATTGCACCGCCACTCCAACGCTCTTGTGGACATTTTGCCCCCTGAGGCCGATTCTTCCATTGCCATTGTTGGCGACAACCAGAAACCCGACGTTACATACGCCGACGTCGGTGGTTTGGACATGCAAAAACAAGAAATCAGAGAGGCCGTGGAATTGCCATTGACGCAAGGTGATTTGTACTCTCAGATTGGTATTGACCCTCCCAGAGGTGTCTTGCTATATGGTCCCCCAGGTACGGGTAAGACCATGTTGGTCAAGGCAGTGGCTAACTCCACAACTGCATCTTTTATCAGAATCAATGGTTCGGAGTTTGTACAGAAGTATCTCGGTGAAGGTCCCAGAATGGTCAGAGACGTTTTCCGTCTCGCCAGAGAGAACTCCCCCGCTATCATCTTCATTGATGAAATTGACGCCATCGCTACGAAAAGATTCGACGCACAAACCGGTGCCGATCGTGAAGTCCAGAGAATCTTGTTGGAATTGTTGAACCAAATGGACGGTTTTGACCAGACGTCGAACGTTAAGGTCATCATGGCCACTAATAGAGCCGACACCTTGGACCCTGCATTGTTGAGACCAGGTAGATTGGACAGAAAGATCGAGTTCCCCTCTTTGAAGGACAGAAGAGAGAGACGTTTGATCTTCTCCACCGTTGCATCCAAGATGGCCTTGGCTCCTGAAGTCGACTTGGACTCGTTGATCGTGCGTAACGACCCATTGTCTGGTGCTGTCATCGCCGCCATCATGCAAGAGGCAGGTTTGAGAGCTGTCAGAAAGAACAGATACATGATTCTACAAAGCGATTTGGAGGAGGCATACACCGCACAGGTGAAGAGCGGCACGGAGCACGACAAGTTCGACTTCTACAAGTAAGCAGGTGAAAGATGGTCATTTACAAGATGTTAGATTAGCTCATAGACGGCCAATCCTGGTTGCAAGGTCCGTGGATCGCTCCAATCGAGGTGGTCTAGGTCCAAATGGAAGGGTGTGCTCCACGTCTTGTTAAAATGAGTGACGTCGAAGTGTGTGGAAAAGGAAGCGATCGGCGTCACCAAAAGCACTTTGGTGTCTAAGTTTTTGATGAGTGCGTCAACAACCCTAATATCAGAGCCCATGGCGTCGATTACATAGTTGGTCTTGGTGTCGTCGAGCTCAAAACCGTGATACTCGCCATGAAGGCTGATGAATTGATACTGATGTTGCTTGTCTGCTAGCATCCATGTAGGGGGAGAGTAAGTTCTCCACCACACCTGGGTGACTCCCTGTAGATGCAGTGTTTGTAGGTAATCCAAAGCTGGCACAACTCCACCTTGGTGGAAGATTCCCATCAATACACCCATCAAGATGTTGAAAGCGAACCATAAACCCATGATAATGGAAGATAACTTGGAAGCTTCTTTAGCATCACCGTCGTACCCAAGACTCAAATCGAAACAGCAGCATAAAAGCGGCACGATAGGAGTCAAAAAACGCAACTCTTGATGAGGAACCAACGAAAGAAATAGGATCCCACTGGCTGCACTCAAAAATGGCGTCGTTTTCCAGTATCTGTTTCTGAAGCGAAAGAATAAAAGCAACAAGCCGGGGCCAAAAAGCTGTGGCAAATTGGCAAGAATGTGTGTGTACCATGGATGGATTCCGTGTTTTGCCAAATTGAGTGTGTTGGTGTTGTACAAGAGACTGTTCAATGGGGTAATGACCCACAGGCCGTGGGACCAGGGGTGCTGGAGAAGCTCTGAAAAGGAAAGTCCCTGAAATATAGCTGTATCAAGAATAATACAGGTAGCTGACGTAACAGCGAAAGTGGCAGCAGCGACTAAAGGAAGCGTTTTCCATTTCCAAAAAGCTCCGGCCAAGTAGTAACCAGGCAACACGAAAAAGCACGGAAACGTGATTCTGTTAAAAGTTCCAAAAGCGACCAAAAAGCCGAGCGTGCCTGCCAATTTCACCAAATCGCCAGTTCTCTGTTGTGATGCATCCTGGCCCAGTATGAACCTCAACTCGTTGATGATGTAAACGGCAGCCACCACCAAAACCGTCTCCACAGAGTTCGAAAAGCAGTGACTCTGATACACCAACGTCACGTACAGAGTCAGCGTAAAGTATATAGCCTTGATCCGCTCCTGCTTGGTCGGAAGCATCTTGTGAAGACACCAGTCTGTAACCATCCACGACAACACCATGAGCACCAAGCGGCAGATGTACCATATCTGGAGCGGCTGAAAGCCGAAATAGTCCGCTGTTTTCATAATTGGCCAGAAGAACAAAACCAATGGAGCGTAGCTTCGAGCTGGACTGGGCGAAGTGAACTCCCATGGTGCATTGACATTGTAGCCCAACCAGGCCAGAACGACCTCCAAGCTCTGGAAATGCTCATCTGGATGGATGTAGGAGTCCGAAAGGGCCACGAGGAATCGGAGCCCGATCGTGAGGAAGTAGACGTATCTCCATGAAAGAAGGAATGCCATTGGAGATGAAAATGCGAACTGGGTGCAAAATTCGGGCAGTGTGGGGGTGATGAGCTGGGTGGGATGGAAAGTTGAAAAAGGTGAGATTGGAATTTTGTAATGGAAAGGAACTTGGTAAGCTGATTGCTGGTTGGTGAGTTTAAGTTTTTTTGGGATGTCGAGCTATTCCCCGACACCAGAGCCCATGATACCAGAGTGCACAATGTGTTACACATGGACGCCTCTAGAGATAGTATTATGTTACTTCTATATTTTCTTAAAATACGAATTTTATCTCTTACTTTTAGTCGGCTGAATCCTGCCTCAATGAAAATCACAAAATCAGCTCTCGCAGCGTTCACTACACTGTTTCTTACCGATGTCTATTGATATGCACAGGTTAGGCCTCGTCGCTCATGCCAGCCTCCATCTCGTCTTCACTGTTTTCGTAGTCGTCCACGCCATCCATGTCTATGTCGTCGTCCTCGTCGTCACTGATGAGCCCAGCGTGCTCTGCATCGTCAAGCTCCTCCACATACTCCACCTCTTGCTCTCCATCTTCGTCGTTCACCAACGAGCCATTCAAGATCTCCTTCTTCAAGCTGTTTTGGGATTGTAAGAGATTGAGTCTGCCTTGCAACTCGAGCAAACGGGGTAACGTGTCGGCCTTTTTGGTCAAGATAGAGTGCAAACTGGACAACTTGTTGCTGATGTTGGGTATGGAAGAAAGCACGCTGCCGTGGATGACAATGACCCACTTGATCCAGAAATATAAGCCTTCCAGACGCGACTGCTTCCTCGTGATTCTTTCTGCGAGTCTGTCTAGAAGAACCACCACGAGAGATGGGTCCAATCTGGCGATGGTGTTTCTCACAATCTCGGGATCCTTGTTTATGAGAACAGCGTTGTCAAGCAACGAGCTGTCGTTGTTTTTCAATGCCTGGGAAAGAACAACAGCTAACGAGCCGGGTGTGTGACGTTTGAGCTTTTTCTTTCCTCTGCTTTCTGCCTGTCTCAGCTGCTCACTGAGCTTATTGATTTTCTCCTCCAACGTTTCGTCGTTTTCCTCCTCATCCACGTCATCCTGGAAAGCATTACCTTCAGTGATGACCGTGTGTGACTCCTGGTAAAGCTTAGGTGCTGCCACATCGTGGCCATCAGCTGTATGAGAAGTAGCTCTGATCTTCTGCTTTGACTTTTCAATCTTTTGAGTGCCGCTGAAAGCGAATCCGGCATCCGTGAACCAAGGCAAGGCGTCGAAGTACGAAACAGAAGCGTTTTCGAGCCAGGTAACATGCAAAACACCGCTGGAAAGAGCAACAGCGTTGATATGTAAGCTTTCGTCGTCAGGACTGGTGATTTCATCAGCAGGACGACCGAATTTGAGGGTCGCCTCGGAGCTCTTGCTCAGAACGGCCTTGGTGTGTTTTCTCTTCTTCTTGGACTTTTCTGGAGTCGCCAGAGCATTGCTTTCGAATGTGAGTGGGTTTTGGAAAACCTCAACGGCGCCGTTCTCGGTCACAGCCGTCAAAATGGAGCCCACAGTGTCGTGCTGGTTCACAGCAACATGCTCAATAGCTGCCTCGGCCACAAGCACGGCCTTGGCTGGCGCACTATGGAAGGAATAGATATTCACGAAACGGTCGCCCTCAGCTGCTGTGAGGAAGAGGTCTTTGGAGCCGGGAACTGGTAAAAGTGTGTGGATGGGCAGCACGTGGGCATGGAATGTCTTGACCACCGATTTGGTAGAGGGGTCAACGAGATAGACGTTTTGAGTACCCACAAGGAGATGAGCCTTGCCGTTGTATTTCACAGACAGAATCTTGGAGACGGACTCGGACAACTCTATCAAGTCAAAAAGCGCCATGCTCAGCACCAACTGGTGGCTCTGCAAGTCCCATTCATATATGTTTCCGCCGATATCCGTAGACCATGCTGATTTTGATGCCGATGAGTAGTGGAAGTCTGTGACCTGGAGACTCGAGGGATGCTCCAATTCCGTCACAATAGAATTCAGCAACGGCGAGTAGAGCAAAATGCTGCCGCTTGTCAATCCCAATGCAATAAGCGAGGTCTGGTCTGGCAGAACCCACAGTAAGGATGAGATCTTCTGGTTCTTGCCTAGACTCAAGGAAGTGTTGACCATATCCTGGGAGGAAACAAGACTCTGGACTTTGACCTGATGAACGTCCAAGGCCTGCACGGCCAGCGCTAGGTAAGTTAGGCTAGGGTCGAAACGGGCCACTAGAAGCGAGGACATATTGAGGTGAAGATGTTTTTCGTGCTGCGATGGAGAAGTAGTAGGATGTCTGGTCATGTGACGTGGGGACGAAGGTAGGCGAAAGTGGGCCACAGAAGACCAATTTCGAGAAAGTAGTGGTCCTTTTGTGAATAAAAATGGGGAATCTGGAAAGTTACAAATTTTCGGGAGCTCTTTCGCTATATGTGGTGGGGAACGGTGTGGTACTCATCGCGATGAGCAGTACAGTGGTGATGAGCATCGAGGATCAAGTCCCAACTGAAAATTCGACATGTCAGATGAATAAAATTGTCAGAAGTACTAAACTTTTCGTCTTCTCACCCATTCTAAGCAAATTTATCTCATGTATGTTGACAGACCCGGTTGGCTTTTCTTGGACCAGTACGGCTGCGATTTTGCATCCATCAGCATTGTTAACTGAGACATTGTCCTCGGCCAGCTGGACACAATAAAGCCCCGAGTTTAGGCGGACCAAACGCGGTCTTATCATGCAATAGGCTACCCCAGAACGGTCAATGAGGTGATTTACGGTGGCCGTGGCGCTAAATATCTTCAGGAGTGGACGATAGAAAGGAAGCCCCGTTCCTATTTGATCCATAGGTCCAAAATTTGCAAAAGTCCCAAAAATTCACTTTTCGCTGCCTCACAATATAAATCCAATTAGTGTGCCGAAAAAGTGTGTCAATTGAGGCAGGGTCGGCGGGGCTTTTACTTGTCGGGGCACATTATGCCTCGGAATGGTTGCAAAACGCACTTTGGCGACACCTGGCCAGACCAAGCCCAGAATGCCACTACAAATTTTGAGATTCCAGCCAATCACGAAAAAGCACGTACTTTTGAAATTCCCGATTCTCTCCAAATCTCCTCCTCGTCTCACTCTAAATTCTCCAGTATACGAGCCTCACCGATTAGACGAGGCAAGATCCACTACATCCAAAGTGCCCTTACACCGCCACACCACCAAAACTCCAAAACCAGCATCAAAAGTAAAACATTCCTTCATTTCTTCTTCCCCTATAATATCATACACCACAGCCTACCCTGTGAAACGCATGGCTCCAATCGCCAGAGCCTATCGGTATGCGCACGTCCTCCTGATATACGCGGTTTATCTACAACATTAACTGACAACATCACCATGCCTCTTTGCGGCGGTTCCACCAAGACAAGTATGTGAAGTTATTAGTGTTGAAACGCTTTTCTAACTCCCAGTCCAGCGCAAGATCGTCATTTTGGGCGACGGTGCGTGCGGTAAGACGTCGCTTTTGAACGTCTTCACCCGAGGCTACTTCCCTCAGGTGTATGAACCCACCGTGTTCGAAAATTACGTCCACGACATTTTTATCGATAGCCAGCAGGTGCAGCTTTCACTCTGGGACACAGCAGGTCAGGAGGAGTTTGACCGTTTAAGAGCTTTGTCGTATGCCGATACTCATTGCATCATGTTGTGTTTCTCCATCGACTCTCAGGACTCTTTGGAAAACGTCCAGCTGAAGTGGGTGGGTGAGATTGCTGACCACTGTGAGGGTGTCAAGCTAGTACTTGTGGCGTTGAAGTGTGATTTGAGAAACCACGAGGAGGAGGAAGACGACGTCTACCAGGCCCAGAGTCCGTACAACCAGAACAAAAGATTGATCTCGTACGACGAGGGCCTCAGTGTGGCCAAGAAGGTCGGCGCCTTGCGCTACCTTGAGTGCTCGGCCAAAAAGAACAGAGGCGTCAACGAGGCCTTCTCCGAGGCCGCTAGATGTGCGCTCAATGCCAGACCCAAGGGCGCCAACGACAACGAGCCCGAGAAGAAGGGCTGCGTGATAATGTGAGTCCCGCCGTGGTCTCCTCAGCATCTCCTTTGCTGCGCCGTTCGTGTGTCCACCCAGCAAAGGCTCCTATAGCATTGATTTGGACCAAAAGTTCCCTGCTAGAGCAGGCATCACCCGACACTATGTACATTAGAGCTATATATGAGTGCTCATGGAAGTTTTGTTATGGTAGTTTCTATTCCTGGAACGTTGCAGGCAGTGGCTGTTCCATGAATGGCTTCGTCAAAAGCTCCTTTCTCTCGTCCCAGATATCTTCCGACAGCCCCTGAGCCTTCTTGTCTAGAAGCGTCTGCTTGTAGAACTCCTGGATTTTCTGTCTGCGCTCGAGCTCTCTAGAATCAGCTGCAAGTTTTTCAACGTCCATTTCCTTTTCACTGAAGGAACCATTCCAGATGGCGAACCAGACCTTCTTCCGTTGTGCTTCACACGTCGTGTAAGAGCCGTATCTGTAAATATTCTTGATTTGTCCACCCAAACTGAAACACATTAGCACATCGTCGAAAGCCGACATGAGTGAGAGGTCAGAGGGAAACGAGGAAACGTCGTTTTCTCTTACCGTTTTGAGGACCTCTTTTCTGCGCTCATTTATTTGTGGATCATCGCTCTGGAAAAGCTCCAGAAGTTGTTGGAGCTCTTTATCGTCAGACATGAAGAAGAAGTGGTGGTTGATCGCTTCCTACTACTGTGCTCAATGTACAGGTCTGGGAGGGTCCGTGGGTGCAAGTGTCGTTTATGCAATGCTATGGATGCTATATATTTATGTCTCAAGAACACGTGGCTCAAGAAGAAGCTTGCCCATGGGCATATCCGAGTGGCCTTCGTTCAAGCCGAACACAGGAACACCTCTCACCAAGGTCTCCATGACTCTGCCCTTGAACTCCATACCGTCGTAGGCAGTCAACTTGTTTTTGAAGAAAGTCTGTTCATTACGAACGATGTAGTTGGCATTAGGGTCAAACACAATCATGTCGGCGTCATAGCCAACTGCAAGCTTACCTTTGGTGTGTGACAAGCCAACCTGTTTGGCGGTGTTCCATGAGCACCATTTCGTGATCTCCTGAAGCAGCACTGGTGGGCTCAAGCGCTGACCCTCAGTGTACAAAATGGGTAATCCAAAACCAACGGAAGAGATTCCGCCCCAGGCGGAAAAGAAGTCTCCCTTCTCGAGGCCCTTGAGCTCTGGTGTACATGGAGAGTGGTCAGAAACCACGGTGGTGATGATGTCGCTACGCAAAGCCTTCCACAAGAGCTGTCTGTTGGCGTCTGAGCGAATTGGTGGGCAGCACTTGAAATGAGTGGAGCAGGCCAGGATTTTTTCGGCAGTGAGGGAAAGATAGTGGAAGCACGTTTCGGCGGTGATGGGCAAGCCTTTGGCTTTGGCTGCTCTCATCAAAGGAATGGCTTCGTGAGTGGCCAAGTGAACGATATGAAGTGGCACCTCGGGGTGCTTCAAAGAGCAGTTGATGATTTCGGCAATGGCGGTAGTCTCGAAGTTGTCTGGTCTGGATGCGAGGAAAGAAGCGTAAAGCGAAGCGTCAACATCAGCCAAAGCGTCGTCTTCCTTCTGTGCCAACACGATTGGGTCCTCGTGGTTCTCCTTGAGCACCTTGTGTGTGATTTCGTTGGGCTTGGCCAAAATAGTGTCGCTCTTCTCGTCCACGTTCTCCAGGTGGTTGGGGTTGGCCAATCTGGCGTAGCGACCGAACTGAGGCTCCGAGCCCAGGAGATAAGGCGATTTGGCCAAAGCGGCTCTCTGTTCATGAGGAACCGCCTCCACAGACTTGCGTCTTTCCTTATCAGACAACTTGTACTCGTTGTCTGGGTTGTGCTCACTGACTAGATCTGCCACTTTGCGGGGAAAGAATGTGGCCGAGTCTCCTAGGTTGAGGTCCTCCACGGCAGTAAGAGCGACAGGGTCGTCATTAGGGTCTGCCTCTAAATCATCCTCAGATGCGAGCTCCTCGATCTCCCCATTCTCGCAGTCATCAAAGGTGACCTTCTCGTCATACCCGTTAGGTCCATTTTCTTCAATCATTACAGAATCCGTGCCACGAACGTAGAGATCGTGCTCCTTGTTGGCCACAAGCTTGGGGGTTCTTTCGCCCTCTCCAAGTGCCAAAACTGGAGGGTTACTGTGAGGCTGCATCTCGGCATGGAACATCAACATCGTAGACTCGCCCTTCACATTCTTCATCGCCTTGACGATATAGTTGGGTGTGATAGCGGGAAACTCGTCCACGCCAGACTCGATCAAGAAGCCCTTGAAGCCTCTCACACCCATGCGGATCAAAGGCACCAAGTCCTCCAAGTTTGTGGGCACCATACCACCCCAAAAGCCGACATCCACCCAAGTCTGGCCCTTGGCGGCGTTGATTTTGAGGTTAAAATTGGCCACGGTCGTGGTGGGCGGAATAGCGTTCAAAGGCATATCAATCACAGTAGTGACACCTCCGGCTGCAGCGGCCCTGGTGCCTGTGGCGAAACCCTCCCACTCGGTTCTTCCAGGTTCGTTCAAATGAACATGGGCATCCACCAAGCCTGGCATGATCACCAAGGGAGAAACGTCTCTGTAGTCCTCGGGAAGCACGTTGAAGTTCCGGAGCGTCTGGTGAGAAGCGGGGAGCACCTCGTTCACAATAGAGAGAATTTTGCCTGTTTCTATGGAGAAGATCACCGTGGCAGGAGCCACCTGGTCGTCCACAAGGACGTTGGTTGAAGCTAATGCTCTAGACATGGAGAAGACAGTGATAGGCTCGCGCTGATAACAGGTCCGGTTTGCAAAAAAACGTTGATGCGGCGGCGGCTAAACGCACAGATAGCGTGTCAGGACAAAGAGCTGGAAAAAAAAAGTGATGAGAAAAAAAGGAGGAGGAGGTTTTGTGAGGATGGTCAGTGCAAGTTATAGTAGGACGGAATCGGTGGGTTTCGCAGCCCGGAGATCACCGAACAAAGAGGAGAGGCGTACTGAGACATTTGAGATGTAGTGGTGGCCTCGAAATAACAGATATTCTGGGAGGGGCCCACTTGCTCGTTTGCTATGAAATCGAAGTCGTCCTTTCATTATGGCCTTTTTGACTTCTTCCGTGGGGTTGACTTACCGCGGTGATTCCGAGATGCCCATGAGGTCTAATGTGAGACGGTGTGCAATGTGAGACAGCGTTTTGGGACAATGCGACGAAGCAAAAAGTCGGTGGCTTTTTCGTCGCCGAGAAGTCAGAGTGCATTGCCGTTTCTTTTTGGAACCTTGTCGTTTCTTTTTGTGTAGGTTTTTTCGGCTGTTCACATGAACAGGCTTAAGCAGGGAGTACACTTCCGGTAGGCTTCGAAGTGCACCAGGGTGGTCCACAATCTGAATAATCAGGGCTATCTTTCTGGCTATATTTGAAAAACGAATTGATTTGACAGTCTTCAGTCGAACTCAATGAAGAATCTGGTGCAAGTAGTCGATGCGGCCTGAGACACTGGACTCATTTTCACATTTCGCAGCCATTTACATTAGGATTGACTGATACGGTGGATGGTGAGAATGTGGAGCCCCGTTGGAATACAGGCTTATAGAGTGGTCATGACAAATGATAGAGTTGCTGTTGCTTGTAGCACTACTTCACCCGTGGAACAGACCAAAATGAGCTTTGTATGAACCGTCTCATATGACCAATGTCTGTCAGTGGAAATTGAGACTAACTGCTCAAGGCGCTTCTACACCAGCCCAAATACTACAAAGCCTACAATTGCACAACCTCTCTTCACTTCATTTCCGCTGGGGCGTCTATCAAAACTTGACGAGCTGCTTACCAGACTTGGAAGCGGCAATAGCGTCAATGACCACCTGAGCCACTTCCTGGTCGCCAACCTCGTTCTCCTTCAGCGGAGCGTCCAAAAGCTCGCCGCTGGTGTACCACTCCACAATGCGGTCGACAGTCTCTCTCTTCAAGTTGGGGTCGCTCTTCAACAACTCCGTCACCCAGAAACCAGCGCTGGTGACGTTCTTGAAAATGTGCAACGAAGTAGGCAAAGTCACAGGCTGGTACGACATTCCACCGTATGTAAGCATCAAACCGTTTGGAGCCAACTTCCTGGCAACACCGGCACTGGACTTTCCACCGACACAGTTCAACGCAAGCTTGATCTCACCACCAGACTCCTTGAGCCACAGCTTCACCTGGGGGCCAAACTCCTTGGAGTTGTTCTGTTCCTCGGTGATCACATGAGTGGCGCCGCAGACCTCGGTCAATTCCTTGCGGAGCTCGTCGATCTCGGGTCTGTCTCTCACCACCGAGATGGAGTTGAAGCCCAAGAGCTTGGCGATCTGCGACGCAAACTTGCCCACGGCAGAATTACCTCCGTTCTGGATAAACCAGTCTTTGCCAGGGGTCAATTTCACGTAGTGGGTCAACATCAAGTAGGCGGTGAGGGGGTTCACAGAAAGCGTAGCACCCTGGTTGAGAGAAAGGCCCTGCTTCTTGCCAGCAGCCTTGGACTGCTCCGGGTTGGGCACCTTCATCATCTTTTCAGCGTCACAGGCAGCATACGATCTCCAAGTGCCGAAGTTGACGCTGGTGGGAATGGCCCAATCACCCACCTGGAAGTCCTTCACTGAGGAGCCCACTTTGACGATTTCAAAAAGACCCTCGTTACCGCCGACGGCCAGGGGCTCTGAAGTACCCAAAGCAGTTGTCTTTTCAGGCTGACTAGGGTAAACGCCTTGGACCTGGTTGATGTCACTGGGGTTGATTGGGGCACCCAAGGTCTTCAAGACAATCTCGCCTGGGCCAATGCTGTTTTCATCGATTTCGTAGGAATGTGTTTTCAAAACGTCTTTGGGTTCTCCGTGGGTGGAGAAGATCACGGCGTGGGAGGTAAGCATTCTGAGCGGAGTACGCAATTGAGGTCTAGCTCTGGCAGCAGAAAGAAACATGGTGTTTTCGGACTAAGTGGGGCCTTGCTGGTGTGCCCTGGCTGCATGTAGGACACTTACTCAGGAGGGCCCCCAACGGGGTTTCCAAGGGCAATTTTTTTATTTCTAACGATCATTGATTTGACGGTGGTTTGAAAAGTAAGAGCTGTATCAGCTGTGTTCTTTCTTTTGAATGAGTTAATTTGGGATTGTGGTGGGTCGGATTAGAGGTATACGAGTGGTTTCGCAGCCAGTGTGGGGGAATATTTGCATTACTAAGCTGGACAGTACCCGAGGAAATGTACGAGAAAATTTAAGAGAATTTTTTTTAGATTTTGGTATGGTGAGTCAATTGAGCCAATTAAGGCTAATGAAGAGTTTCAATTGGGTTGGTTGTGCAGATGTTGGTTGCTACTAGCTGAGGAGGTACTCCCGGGATACTGAAAATTCCTGTAAGCGACAGATGAGATAAGTTCCAGTGGATAGTTCGGTTACATTTGATAGACTCCACTTCCAATTGACGATTCATTGCCCAACTACTGCAATCTACTCAATGGCTGGCCTGCCTCATTGACCGTATCATGCATTGATTGGTTATGCTAAAGAGTGAATCATATCTTTCTTGTGTATCCTGGTTGTCTGTGCTCGAGATATAAGTCAAGCTTAGCACCATCGATCGCACCTTCAAGGCCACCAATGGCACCTCTTAAACGAGACCCATGACATCAAAGTCACAACGCGTCTTCAACGCACATCTGCCCCATTGCCATCGTCTATATCCTCGCCCACTACTCCTTCTTCTCGTTCTTCTCCCTCTCTCTCCGAGCACGCATCTTGATTCTCGTGTTCTGGATCGTACCCACAACAAAGTACACCAACGAGAAGAACACCACCCAGAGCTCAGGAGGCAAGAAGTTCTGTGCCACCGTCATGGCCACCACGGTGGTGCCCAAAGACGTCTTGTACACCGTTGGGAAGTTGTTCTTGACTCCAGAGGCCAAGACGCGGAACAAACGCTGGATCTCTCCAAACAAACCAGCTCCCTGTGACTTGTAGCCGTTCAAGAAAGACAACCACGCCACGTACACTGCACTAAGACACGGTGTCACCGTGCACAAGGACGTCAACAACTGAAGAAGCTTCATTCTCGGCGTGAGCTTCCCGGTGAAGAACTTGTTGAGCACACTGTACAAGTTGTGGGAGATCGGAGTGGCAATGCAGGCGCCGTAGAACACCATTTGCAAGATCCGGGGGCTCAAGACGTGTCTTATTCTGAGCTTAGCGCCCAAAAGGTTGAATTCCGTCTTTTTCACGTCTCCAGAGACGCCCAGAGCGATCATCTCGTTGAGTGCTGCAAACACCCCCAGTGTGGCCAGCTTCGTCAAAAGCGGGTATTTGGCGAGGTACACGAGGTATTGCTGATTCAATGACATGGCATTTTTTCCGATAAGAGGAAGAGCCGAAGTATTTATATGGCCCGCGCTTTCCCCACATAAGAGTCACGGAGATACCCGGCCGGAGGAACCAAGAACTGGTCTTGACAATGGCGGTATTGAGGGGAGGCTTCCGAGGATCTTGCGAATTTGGGTCTTTAAAACGAGTTGGGGAAAAAAGGTAATATTATGGGTAGGTGGTTGGTGGATGTTGTTTGATGTGTCTGGGTGGAAAATCTCTTATCGCAGCATGAAGCAGAGTCATGTAGGCGGGGTCAAAGTGACTTCTTCAGATAGCAGAAATCGAAAGAAGTAAGCATTACTAAGAATGTTCTTGATTACCTGATTGGCGAGGTTGGGAGGGGAGCGTCGGGTTGGTTTCACTAGGTGACGATCTCGGCTATAGGCTTGCCGGTTGTTCAGATACCGGACTTATGGGAAGGACTCCGAGGCCTGTCTACACAAGTAGATAAGCAGCACCGGTGCATTATTTGACAAAGTAGCAAACGGAAATTTCAAGGAAAAAGTGAATGATTAAACCTCAGAAATCCTTATGGTTTGAATTGGGCTGCCGGGAGATACGGGGTGTTTGGGTTTCCTCGGACTCAGAGGTGCATTGTACCGTGGTACTGATAAGTAGATTCCTGGTCCAATTGGTAGATAATTCATTGATCATGAAAAAGCTCTCCATATATCGTGTTCTATTATGTTAGCTTCCTGCCAAAACGGCGGGTTGGTAATTACCACATGGACATTGGTCAGAGACGATTGTATGGTCGCTATTGTTCTAATCGGGACCACCATGGTATTTAGCAGAATCTGGAAGATCCACTCGATCAAGGCTTCTTCTTGAACCAGCAATGCTAGAAATTACGCATGTGGCATTTTTGTTTGACAGTACCTCCTTGGGGTTTCCTCATGGCTTACTGGGACGTTTCACGATCTGTATATTTCGCAGCCAGTGAATGTCCAAGCCAATTCACTGTCCAAGTGCTATCGATACATATTCCTTCCTATCTTTGACTTGGATTACCTTTAAGAGTAGCGTGAGGGTGAAATGCGATCGTTGGTTCGAAAAATTACCGAATTGATTTTTCACGTAGTGGCATTCGCTGAGTCTGGGGCTTATTTCACGGTAGCATACATCATTGGAGATGCTACGATTCATCCAACCAACTAATAGAGATTGCTCCTAATGACATCCAACTAACTGATAGAAAACGTTCATGTGGCATCAATTGGCTGAACAAAAATAATTGAGGTCATTCCAATTATTTCAATCCTCCAGGCTGCCCAAAGTAGAAGCTTTAGCTTGCCTCAACTCACATTAAATCCTCATCTCTGACCCTGTAAAATTAGACCCACAAAGCATTCCCTCTTTTGAAGCTCGTGCTACAAAGGAAACAACATGCATCGTTACAGACGGTATGGAGTTTGGGGAGAAACAAGGCACCAATGCCACAACATCTAAAAAACAAGCCCTTGGAAAATCGTGCTCTTGGAGCGACGGGCGTATTGTCAAGAGCCTCTTTCTACTCATATACCTTTGCTCAACTCTTTCCAATTTGGTTTTTCCTCACACCCACCTTAACAGCTATGTTACTGGTGAGGTGGACGAGTTTCTCGTGCCCAAATTGCACAAGACTATAAACGCCATTGAAGCTCTCCTTCAGGGGAAGACGACAGGTTTGGAGCAAATGTTACCAGAAACGTGGCCACATGCAACTTACGACGTTTATTTCAACGGCCTTTGCAGAGTAAACGATGATTCGTCGACAGTATGCTACCAAGGCACGAATATCGAGGATCTCATTGCAGGAGACATTGGTCTCCAAATTGCTCAATACAACCATATGGAGAACCCAAACGCTTTCCGAAGGGAGTTCATTCTGACATTTCATGAAATCAAGCAGGAACTCATTTATGCAGTGGAGAGCAGAAGGTTCTATTCCTCGGAAACTGAAATTTGCCCAGCAGAAAGACCTCTGTAATTTCGCAATGGGTGTTCTACGCTACACTTCTCCTAACCTTGGTGTCAACGACAATTTCAATTGTGAGTATCTGGCACAAGCTTGACTGTTTTTATACGATTCTCGCCATTCTATTTCAGCTCCTGGCTTTATTCACCAGATTTATGAACTTCATGGACATCTCGAATGCGTGGTCTGAGATGGACCCTTTTTTTGAGCCTTACCCAGGACCACAGTTAATAAGGGAATATTTGATTGAGTTTGCTACTGTTGCATATTATATTTCATGGATTGTGTTCCTCTTTGTGGAGGAAATCATGAAGGTTGAGTCGAAAAAGCATGTTTGAATGTTGATGGATGTCTCATCAGATGTTTGCCGTCACAAATATTTGTCTTTTTTTGAACTTGGTGCATCGATTGTAGTAAACTATTTCCAAAGCCTACATCTGTATGGCTTAGTAGTCATTCCCATCATCAATCTCCTCATTGACGCCGGAAATCATCCGACCGGAACATCTACCGAATTTCGGACATCCTACTCTGCATCAACAATAATTCGTATATTCGTGAAATTCAATTAAAATTAGATTTCCTCCTCGTGGGAGACCTCAGCCTTGTCGTTCCACTCAGGATTGGTGACAGCCAATCTCTGGTGGGCGTAGAGTGGAGGCAATGGGTCAACCTTCTCTCTGAAAACATACTTTCTGATGTTGTGGAAGAGCTCTCTTGTTCTGTAGATGGCGTGCTTCCTGAGCGATACACTAAACACATCGTCCAACTCTTCCAAGGTCAAACCCTTGGTCTCTGGTAAGAACCACAAAACCAAGAAGAAACCAACCACGTTCCACGCGGCATACCATCCAAAAGCACCAGTGACAGTGAATGCATTCTTCAATCTTGGCCAGGTGAAGGCCAAGATGAAATTGAAGAACCAACATGTAGCTGTAGCGAATCCCATACCCAAGTCACGAATGTACAAGGGGAATGCTTCGGCAGAATAGGTGAACGGAACGGGGCCTTCACCAGAGGAGTAAACTGCGCTAAACAAATAGATGCCTGTTGCCACACCTGCCAACCTTCCTTTTTCGTTGCTTTCGGGCGTCAAGAAACTCGTACCTGCGATAATCAAGAATATGGCCATCAACGGGAAGGTCGTAAGCAACAAGTTTCTTCTACCAAATGTATCGATGGTGTAAAGTGCCGGAATGGCAAAGAGGAAATTGATCATACCATAACCCCATGAGGCAAGCATGGCCTTGACTTCAGACAAGTTGGACTCGATGAAAATGGACGAGGAGTAGTAAGCAATGACGTTGATACCACAGAATTGCTGCATGAACATGACGATCCAGGCACCCAAGGCACCATTTCTGTTTCTTCTGATGGTGAACATCTCCCAGATTCTCTTGTAAGAAGGAACACCGACATAGGATTTTTCCTCTGAGAGCAAAACAAACTGGTAGAAACAGTCACGAGCAGCCTCGATATCTGTGTGACGCAATTGCTTGTAGGAGTCGTAGGCTTCCTTGTGTCTGTCTTTACCCATAAGCCAACGAGGGGACTCTGGCACGAAGGGAATCTGGAAAAGCACAAGGATAGCAGGAATGGAAGCGGAACCCAACATCAATCTCCAGTTCAAGCCGCCAGAGATACCATTGGGGCCAACGTAGTAGAAAGCAAGGGAAGAGACGTAACCAAGCATGATACCCACGGCAGTAAAGAACTGCCAAAGCATGACCAAGGAGCCTCTGATGGTAGCGGGGGTGGTTTCAGCAGCGTAAGCGGGCACGGTGGCGGATTTGACACCCACACCGATACCCATACAGAAACGAGCGATGAACAAATGGTACCACTTCAAGTTAACAAATCCCTGCCAGATACAAGTGATGGCGGAGATAAAACAGGTCCAGAAAATGGTCCATTTTCTGCCTAGCATTCTGTTCCAGAAATCGGACGTCCAACAGGCAATGGCACAGCACAAGTAAGGAGCACCGTTGACCAAACCCTCGATCAAATCGGCGTTCTTCATCTTGTCAATGCCCATTGCCTTGACGTAGAAAAGCTGAGCTCCGTTAACAACGGACTCGTCCATACCCTGCACGGCAGCGGCCATGGAGGCCAAGGCAATCACCTCGACCAACTTGCGAGGAATGTGCCATCTGGCGGTGACCTCCTTGTTCAAGGAGATTTTCTCGCCTTCGGACAAAAAGTCCATGGAATTGAAATCCTCTGGGTTTCTGGCCAAGGCGGCGGCACGCGAGAAGAGCTCGGGCTCGAGGCCGTGTTTCAAGGCGTAGTTTCTGCCCATCTGCATGGCCTGTTTCTCTGAGTACTGAGATAAAATGTTGCCTCTCTCGCCCTCACGGTCCTGGTCAGCACCGGAGGGTAGCAAGGAGTCATTGACAGACTTCTGCTCTGTCAGCGAGGACAGGTCGACTGCGGTTTCGTGGGTTACCTTCTCAGACATGATGCGGGAACTGTCAAAGCAAGCCAAGACTGAGCCAAGAGATAAAAATGTGTCAAGCGGGGCACAAAATATCTTGGGGATTTCAGGCTCTATTTATACCCAGAGCCACTGCCACGGCGCCGAACCGGCCCCACACCTGCATGCCCCTCTCTGGAAGCCCCAGGAATCCTCAGATCTACAGTGCCTTCTTTGGTATATTAATGGGATGGAATAATGTCATTTATTATGGAATTAAGAGGATGTTATTGGTATAGGCGTTGATTCAATGAAGTCAGGGCTATGGAGGATTGACTGGGTTTATTTGGCCAGCCGTGCGGATGCGATAGTCGAGGTACGTCTAAGACGATCTATCAAGGTACCTTGATGACGTAGTTAAGGTTTGACGTTTTCATTATCAACGAATCCTGAACAAGGTTCCACGCCAGTGACGATTTTCCTTATTTCCTTTTTTTTTTTGTATCCGTCTCCTCCACCCAAATTCGCCACGCCAGTGCACACTCGTAAATCCCGGCTGCGATTGTGTAATGTTGCTCCCCAGTTTCCCCGGCGCGCCCCAGACATTTACGACCACCTGCGTTCTACCCCGCCCCCGCCCTAGCCGCCCGGCTTGCTCTGTGCGCTCCGAGCTCAAATCAGGGTGGTTGGACGGGAAAAATCCGTGAACGTGATTGGTTGATTATGGCAAATTGGTGTCCTGGTGGTCGGGTGTTTTTTGGGTTTTTTTGTATTTCCTCATTTGGCCCAGAAACACACCCGGCACTGGCGCTCCAACCAATCCAGTCCGAAAATGACCCCGCGAAAAGGGCTAAGCCAGCCAGGCGACCCTTCCGCGAATTAGGTCATTTTCAGTATTCCGTGGACTTCCGAAGTCACTGAGTCCAGGTAGTTTTTCGAAAATCACTTGACTCTTGTCTTTGGGGGACCCGCAAAGTGGCCTGAGGCGGGGCGCCATGACGTCAGCGTTTCCATTTTGTTCCATGACAGTCACTTTCTTGAATTTAGGATAAAGCTGCCTTGGGCTTGTAGGACCAAGGATCAGGGCGGCTGCAATTAGCCGCTGGGCAGCGTAGCGAGGTTTTGTCACAACAAGACCTGTTTGAAAAACGAAGGTCATCCTGGAGATTCACGCTTTTTCAAAATAATTAGCTTTTTTCCATCGGGAAGTGCGTTTTCCGTATTGGTACCAGGCCGGTGTTCCAGCCACACCTGTACGGTCTAATTCGGTACATCCGGCGATGAAAAAATGGCACCTACAGAAACGTGACTCCGGCAACAAAGGAGCCGTGTTTGGAGCCAATGGCGTATTCATCTATTCCTACACCTCTTGCTGATCAAGGATTTCCCCTCCATGGATTCGCTAATAAGGTTTGCACGATCGGCATGACGGCATGGAACAATCCTGTTTCCCTAAAAAAGGAAGCATGCTACAGTACACGGCTAGGTCTGCTGCCTGTGTAGGATACGCTCAATACTGGCTTTTCTGAAAAACTGTTTGTGTATTAGCGCCGGAACCGTTATGGTGGCTTCCATCACCTTAAATATCAGTGGCCTGGATCGCTGGCCTGGCCGTGTGCTCAACCTCTTACCTCAAGAAGTCCCTCAAGTACCCACCCAACTTGGTGGCTCCATCCTCTAATGCATCCTTCAACACGTCAAGGTCCTGGTTGGCGTTACCAGAGAACTTCAGCGCAAAGTCCCTGGCAGCGCTCTCAAACTCACCAAATCCACCCTGGTTTCTGCGTGGACCCTGTCCGGCCTCCTCTTCTTCGCCAAAGTACGAGCTCGATGAGATCGACTGGCTGCCGTTGAAAGCTTGGAGCTTCTGCTGGGCCTCCTGCCTCACGTTCTCGTCAAAACGAGGGCCTCTGCCGAAATACTCATCCGAAGAAATACCCTTCTGCTTGCCGTACTTGCTGGCCACCTCACCCGTGTAGGCCACGTCGTTATACTTCTTCTTGGTGCTAGACGTGTCGTTGCCGCCCTGTGTCATGCCGAAACCCAACTTCTGGAACTGAACCGTGGTTTCCTCCACAGGCTTGGGGGTCTCTTCCGGCGTAGAAGAGCTGCCCAACGACAACAGCGACACGGGCTTGGGCGCTCTGGGGGCAGGCTCCAGCACAGGCTCTGCCTGGGGCTTGTAGCCCAACTTCTTGGCCTCCTCGGCCTCCTCCTTGGCCTTTCTCTCAAGCTCCTCAAAGTCGATCTCCTCCTCCTGCTGTTTCACTCTCCTGGCAGCCGCCCGCGACGTTCTGGGTCCGTTGCCCTTGCCCGAGAGGATCGATTTTTTGGCGGCCAACGCGTTGGCGTTGTTCTTAGCCCTGGCTGCTGCAGTTCTCACAGCTGGTTTCCTGGGTGCCGCTTCGTCGCCTGACACAGAGGCCGAGCCGCCGTTAGAGCCAGCCGCAGAAGGCGTGGAAGGTCTCAGACCCAAGGGGGAAGGGGTCAGGTTGATTGGCTTGCTCCAGTTGGAGAAGAAGTCGTCCGTAGAAGCAGCAGCACTTGACAGAGACCCGTCCACCAATGACAACAGATCCAGGGTGTCATCTAGCGTGACCTCGTCGGGGTGCTTCAAGGCGTCCTGCTGGGCGGTCTTCTTTAGCTTTTCTTTATACTTCTTGGCCACGGGGCTCTGGTACTTGGTGGTAGCATCAGCTTTACCATTGACGTATTGGGAACCGCCGTTTTTCGTGAAAAATTCCTTGGCGACCTGGTTACCGCCAAACTTAAAGTGTCTCAACTGGATTCTCTGCCACTGATCCAAGTTCAGCGACTTGACAAACGAGATATGGACACCCAAGTTACGGTGCACTGCTGAGCACTCTAGGCAGAGTAGAATGCCAAATGGGATCGAGGTCCAGGTGGGGTTTTTGTTGGGACAATCGAAACAGACCTGGTTGGCCGGGTGCTGTCTCAACTTGGAAAAAATCTTCTCCACCTCTTCTTTTGTGGCGAATCCGTCCGACATGATCTGGTTGGGAGTTTTTGACACTTTGGTGGTAAAAAAACACAGCGTCCCTGGTGCAAGGGTGCGAAGACGTCAGGCTTAGAAGTACACGTCAGGAGTTGACCCCGGTGATTCGGAAAAAGTGAGAATTGATTTATCATTGAGAGTAGAAGATGCTCGTGAGCTTGGATTATCTTCTTTCCTCACATGAGCTCTGGGTGGTATGGTGATGTGTTGAGACAGGACCTCTCCGGTGGCTGCGAAAGCACCACACTGGCCGAGTATCGGTGAGAAATGGTGATCCAAACGACACCTTTCGAATCCAATTTATTTGAAGTTGTATAAAATGCCTTCTTGAGTAGGTGAAATTGACACATTTTGAGTGAAATGGGTCGAATTGGTTCATTCGTGATTTGAGTGGGCTTTACCTTTAGGCCAACTCAATAGATTGCACGAGAATCATCTCAAGTGCTGGCAGTTATGTTCTATACTTTCACTTTTCAAGATTCTATCAATTGATAAAAGATGACTTTCGTGCAGTAAGTGTAGTAATATGTTGATTGCTGGGGTGTCTCAGATACGGACCAACCGGTTGATGGTGACCGATTGTTATAAAATTTGTTCAAACTCGAATTGTCAAGCATCTTGAAGCATAACTATGAGATGGGTTTCTTTTTGAGGCTTCTTGCCTTTCTTGTCGTGTGACCTAAATGATTGCTCCTTTCGAGGTCTACCACTGGCTGTGAAATATGGTGTCGAATAGTATGTACTTAGCTGATGTGTTAAGGCGTATCTGAAGCTGAAAGACAACGCAAATACATAATTTCAGCAGGAGGTCACAACAAAAACCAAAAACTTCTATTGGTTACTCCAACTTCCTTGCACTTTGTTAAGTTCGTAGTTCTCATCCGCAACACCCATTTTGCAACCATTTCGCATAAGTCTGAAAAACTACGAAATCTTCACATACCAGGAGCTCGAATCAACAAAAATACAACTTTAACTCAGACATCACCCGCTCAGTTCAGAACTAAAATTCTGAAAGTTTGACATGCCTACACTTCTTCATTACTGCCGACGTTCCGGCGCATGCATTATTTACAAAGTCGTCCTCTCCTCAGTGGAAAGGACGAGAACCTCCACGGGCAAACTCAATCACCTTCCAGCCCTCAGTCACATCGTTGTCCATCTCCTCAGGAACCCTCGTGAACACCATGGCGTACGTGCTCATCTGGATATGGTCGGGCGTACCAGCGGCCACCTCGCCGGTCTTGGCTTTTCTGTACAAGTGAACCTCCTGGGCTCTGCAGCTCACCACAATCACTGGGGTGTCGTTGGGCTGGAGGTTCTTGCAGGTGACAATGTCGACACCACGGATGTCCAAGATACGGCCGTCTGAGAACAAGCCTTGCTGGATGAACTGCTTGTTGTTGGCCTGCCACACGTTGAAAGGAGCCTCGCTCAACCAGCTCTTCAAAACCTCGGCGTCATTCTTGATGTAAGCGTCCAACAACTCAGGCACAATGTAGTTGGTCAAGGTCTTGGTGAAGTCGGTGACACGGAAGTTGGGGTCCATCATGCGGAACTGCTTGATCACCTTGGCCTGCTCGGTCTCGGAGAAGAAACCCGTCACCTTTTCGATGATGGTACGGATGAGGGCAATCAACCCGTTTTCACTGTCCTCCCACTTCTCCTTGAGGTACACGATTCCACGGCCCACAGGGTTCTTCAACTTGAACTGCTCCCATCTTTCAGACGCACTGGGTCCTCTAGCCTTGTGCTCAGTAGCCACAAGCGCACCCAGGCTGTTTTCGTTTTCCTTCACGGGCTTCCACACCTTGCCCTTCAAGAGCCTGTCTTGTAGCTCCTTCTTTCTCAATGCCTCTCTCTGCTCCTTGGTCAAGAACCCACCGTACATGTTCAGCGATCCATCGTCAATCACATCACTCACATCCTTGTACACCTGGGTCTGTCTGACAGGGTCAAAAGCCTTGTCGGCGGCATCGGCTCCGGTCTTCACCGTGAGACGAACACCTTTACCAACAGGAGACTCCCATGCTTTGTAAGCAGCTCCTCCCACAGCAGTAGCGGTCTTCTTGGCCATCTTGCCTGCTGCCGAAGAACCCTTCTGCGCTCTGTCGTAGGCCTCCTTGGCCTTTTTGAATGCATCACTCTCGGCCACACGGCCGGTCTCGTCCTGCAAAGCCTTGATGTTGTCCTTGAGCTCGCTGGACTTCTTGATTTCGGTCTTGAAGGTGTTGAAGAAGACCTCAAGGGGCAGCTTGCCCTGGTTTTGGTTGGCGGCGACGGCGGAGACAGAAAAGTGTCTGAATCCGGCACTGACGCCCGGCACGGCCATCTGCCTGTAGATCGACAGACGTAACATGGTGTATTTTGCAGGTTGTGATGGTCCTGTCTGGTGGATAAATTTTTCAGTATGGGCTTTTGTGTCGGGCACACAAGTGGCGATAGTAGAGGGAGCCCCGGGGTATGGATCAGGTTTTTTTCTTGCCTTGATTTTGCCACCGTGGGCGTTTATTGTTTTCTATGAGTGTTTTACAGATTGTGGTGTATGATCTCTGGGCTGGGGGAACCAGGGTGCCAGAGTGAGAAGTGAAGAATGCAGTGTCTAGACAACGGCAGATGACCGACTGGGAAATCAGAGTAACAAATAGAAATTGCTCTTGATCAAGCCCCAATTTGGATTTGGGTCACACCTAGAGCTGGAACAGGCCGACGTTCCGCTTCTTGAGCTTGCGAACATAGTAGGCCACCACAAGCGCCGATACAGCAACGGTGCCGTTTTGAAGCCAACGCAAGATCTTGGCTTGCAGCTTTTCTCTCCTTACAGCGTCCGAGTAGCGAATATCGCCTCTGAACGAGATCATCGTGTACATGGGGATCCATGTGAAGAGCCAGCCCAGGCCTAGCTTTCCCAAAACGTAGTCGATCTTCTTCCGCAAGAGGTAGAGCGGATCCACGACCTTGGTGGACATCTCGTAGTAGTTGTCGAGCGCCAATTTGCAGATAGCATCTAAATCCTCCTTACGGGCTGCTGTGTACTGGGAGATACTCTTGGAGAGGTTCTTCTGGTTCTTATCCAAAAGCTTCATCAAAACATGGACGTCCTCAAATCCACAGTTCATGCCCTGGCCGTAGAAAGGCACCATCGAGTGTGCAGCATCGCCAATAACAAGGGTTCTATGGTTGGGACTGCTGTAAGGATTCACAGACACCTGCATTAACAGACACCGTGGTTGGTGGAGAAAGGCGTAGCTGAGTCTTTCGGCACCTATGAGCTTAAAAGCATCGGGAAACTGTTTCTTGAAGAAAGCCAAAAACAGGTCCGCATTGTGCTTAAACAGCTCCATGACCGACCAAGGACTGAAGAATGTCAGTGTAAACAGCCCGTCCTCGTTGGGCAAGGCAATCAACATGAAGTCCTTCCTGGGCCAGATATGAAGATGATTAGGGTCAATGGCAAAACGAGATGGGTGGTTTGAAGCTGCACCAGCCACCTTAGGAATGGAGAGTTCCAAGTATTGCATGTCGATGTACTGCTGGGAGATATCCATTCTCATGCCCTTTTGCATCTGGTAACGAAACTGGGAATGGGCTCCGTCAGCGCCAATCACATAGTCAAACTTGACCTTCTTATCAAAGCCGTCTTTCGCAGCCAATTGCAATTCAGGCTGTTCGCCATTGACCAACGCCATAAGCTTATGTTCAAAGAACACCTTAACACGGACCTTGTTGAGCTCCTGCAAAAGCACCTTGTTCAAGAAAAGTCGGTCGATCGAGTTGATGCTCTCCCCAAAGAGACCGTATACCTGGCTCTCTTGCTTCTTTCCGGAAATATCATGGATCATACGGCCCTTCATGGGAATCACATGTTTAAGCACTCTGTCGGCAATCTCCTTGTCCACATAACGCATAGCCCTGATACCTCTATCGCTCACGGCTAAGTTGATAGATCTCAAAGAGGTCCTGGAGTCCTCCTTTCTAGGATCTGGTCTTAATTCAAAGATTGTAACATCAAAGCCTTTGGCATTGAGAGCCAATCCTGCAAGACAGCCCACCAAGCCAGCACCAACGATTCCGACAGAAGGCATGTGGGTGTATATTGAGTAGTTGCTTTAAAGAAGCAGAAAGTGCTGATGTCTTCTGTGCCGGTCGTCACAGATCAGAGGAGGTGACACTTTTGGAAAAGTGGTGATTTGATCGTGGTTTTCATCTTCTTTTATGAATTGGAATGGTCGTTGTATATGGATTAATTGATACGATCTTTTGGGATTTTTCAAGGGGTCACCTAACAATGTGGTGCACCTCTTTTTGGTGTCTCAGGTGAGACTGATTACAGTATGAGCATGCATTGCTAGTGACAATTCTACTGAGGCAAAGTACATGCCGATTATCTGATTTTTTTGACTTCGGAAGTCCCGTTTATCTCTTGATCCCTATTAGTTTGCCTGCTTGGCCGGTTCAGGTGGGGTGGGTTCTGCCGCAATGGCAGCTGCCTCAGCTGCTTCAGCCACTTTGTGCTCCTTCTCCACCGACGTCTTCTTACTCGCCTCCTCGATCACCTTCTCCTCTTGCTTCTCCAACGGACCAACAGCATTGCCAAGCTTGATCCTCTTGGCGGCTAACTGTCTCTCAAGAGTAGCAATCTGCTCCACCAACTCATGATTCTGGCGAGAGATGTCCTCGTTGGCCTTGATTGTGTTATGAAGATTTTCTGTCATTGTCAAGTGAGCATACTTCTCTTGCAACTCTCTCGTCCTATGTTGTAGCTCTTCGCGTCTGTGCTTGGCCTCACGAAGCTGAGACGTGTAGTCGGTCTCTTGACCAGAGATCTCGTCCTGGGTCTTCTTGAGGCTGTCGATCTTGGATCTCATTTCCTTGATCTTGAATTTGAGATCGTCATTTGCCTCTTTAAGATTCGAGAGCTCGTTGTAGTTGCCGCTCATGGCATTGGCGCTCATTAAATGGAACTCATTCTCGAACTTGATCAACAGTGGTTCCACCTGTAACGCATGTGCGACAGTCTCTTCGCTTAGTCCCTTGACGAGATCCTCGAAAAAGAAGTCGCTTAGCTCGTCGCCTGAGAGTTTCTGTATAGTGGCCTCCTGTTCTTGGAAAAGGGCGCCGATCAAACGGTGGTAGAAATCATAACCCTCGAATAACCAGAAGTCGAAGATCTTGGCGAGAAGTTCTTGGTCCTGTAAAACATCAAAGATGTTGTGGAGAAGACTTTTATAGACCTCAGTCAAGTCAATGCCTTGATGTGAGATGTGCTTGAAACACTCAGGAACCAATTCCTCCAAGGTACGGCTCAACTTATAGTAGAATTCATCTCTGTGAAGACGGCTGTTTAAAGAGTTGAACTTGAACAAAAGTGCCAAGATCTCCTGCTTGCTCAAACCTGGAATAGCAGCCACCACGGGGGCGATTCTGAGGATGAAGTTGGTGGGAACCAGCTCGTTGGACGCGTCAGACAGCACTTCTCTAGCACAGAAGGTGAAGACCAGCAAAAGCTCCTTCAAGTCTTCGCTTACATTCTCGCTGTCCAACAAAGCTTGATCCTCATTCAGAAGCGACAGCTTAGCCCGCTTGGCAAGACTCGTGTAGCTTGTTTTATCAATGTGAGTTTTGACCTGCGCCGTCTTCAAGTACACAACACCACGAAGCTGCTTGGGAATACCATCCAAGATTGCACTCTCCACAGTCTTCACTTTTCCGCTTCTGATGTAGTCGTTGTTCGTATCTTCCGTTATTCCGGGCCAGATAGAAGGATCTGAGGTGTCCACTCTGGACTTGAGCAGTACAGACACACTGGAAAATACATCAGTGTGCATATTCATGCCGGGTGACCCTAAAAGCTCAGTCTGTCTGATGAAAAGAATAGTAGCAGTTGGAGAGGTGGCATTGTAGATAGGATTCATTACCGGCTTGTCCTCAGGGCCTGGAGGAGGCGGTGGACTGGCGGGAGCAGGAGGCACTTCATTGAGCTCTTCCAGAGAGTTCAATTGGGCTGGAGCGTTCTTCACGTCCGTGGATTCCGCTGCGTTGTCTGCCATTGAAGTCACAGAAGAAAGTATATAGATCCTGGTAACGGTGAGTAGGTTACTTCACGGTACAGTATGTACAGGAAAACCACCCCATTTAACTCTAGACGCTCTTGTCTGCACGACGGCTGGAATCGGATCTTGCATCCAAACGTCTGCGTTTTGGTCCAAGGGCCTTTCTAGACGAGAAAAACAGTAAAAAATCCTCGCCCAGTTTTCCTTTACCACTATTGGCCTGCCCATTCAACTCGTTTCGGGAGTTCAATGCCTTCCTAGATGCAGGCGAGCTTTTCGGGGAGCTACTCTTGTAGGACGACTCTGGGTTGGATACAATTCTCCATTTGTCGTCGAGAATTTCAAGATCACTCCCATCGCTTCTCAGCAGCTTTTGCTTGATGTCTTCAAGTTCAGGGTCAGAATAGGAGGGTTATCACTGTTGATGCGTAGATCTCCCACACTGCGATTGAGCTCTCCGTTACTGTCATCAGCATCTTGGATAACGAAAGGCTCCTCCATTGGAGCCGCCGGCTCTTTGAAAGTCTCTTTCAATCCACTAATAAGAAGCTCCGATTGCATGTATTCTGTGCTTGGGTCAAAAAAGTTGAACTTGTTCACGAACTCTTGGATCGCGAGCTGCTTCTCTGGACCGTACTGACGATTGTGGTCACGGAAGAACAGGTTCAAAAAGTCCACTGTGTGAGATTTGACCTTGAGGCGGAGCAAAAGCCGTCTGATTTGAGGATGCTCGATTTGCAAAAACAGGCCAGAAGTAGGCTCTTTCTTGGATGTGAAGACCAGATTTTGGTTGGCTCTGGGATCAAGTGTCCGTACTGGAGGAGACCTTTGCTTTTTAGGAGCAGCATCGTCCAGGTCCCTTCTGCCAAAACTTGCTCTGTTGATGGTGACTGGTGCAGTCTCTTTTGTCTTTTCCTTATTCTCAGAGGCCTGCTTCTTGGATGATGTGAGAAGGGTGTCAAAAATGCTCGTTTGGCCTTTCTCTGGCTCTTTTTCCTTCTTCTTTTCGACCTTGTCACAACTTACTAACTTCGGTGGTTCTTGCTTTTGCGCATCGGAGATAGATTCCAGTGATGGGTCTGCTGTAGATTCAGCGGGTTCTGGAGCAGGTTCAGGTGCGGTATCTGGCTTCGAAGAGAAGTAAGAGATGAGCTCGATTTCATCGTCCGACTCATCCTCCTCCTTGCATGATCCACTATTGCTCTCATCAGGCGGTTGTTTCAGATGAAGCTCCAAGAGTAAATCGATAAGCTTCTTGCGCATCAACAACCGTTCACCGATGTTGAAGTATCCTCTTGAGTTCTTTGGCATCTTCCTCCACATTTTTTCGCATACCACAGGCTCACTGAGCCACTTACCGACGTTGCAAATGACATGGATACCGCAGTCATTAAAGTTGCGCTGTTGAGGTACTCTAGCGTTTGTGAATTTGATCATGTCAGCAGGGATGGGAACGCCGTAGGTGTCTTGGGCGTATTGGTCGATGATTTTCCTGAGAGGTTCCTCGATATTAGGATGGCGATGGCGGAGGGAGTCAAAGACAAAAACCTCTGACACAGGGTCGGGCTTCTTAGGAGACTCGTCTGCAGATGGTCCTCTATTTGATCTGTCTTCTTCCTGCTCCTTCTTCTCTGCTATTTGGCGACGCTTTGCAGCTCGTAAAAGCTTAGGGAGATCCTTGATTATGCAACAGTACCAATGCAAATGCTCGTTTATGGGGATGATCACGGACTGGTATGACATGAGGTCAACCTTGCTTAGCCAACGCTGGATATTGGCGTAGTAGTCTGGAGGTCCCTCCAGGTCCTCAGGTTTGGACATGAGCTTGGTGAAGAAGAAGGAGTTGAACGCGTAAACCTCATCTTCTCTGACCAGCTTGAGCTCGGAGACAGCCTTGTCTATCTCGTAGGCGATGAAAAAGTCTATAAGTGTGTCGTTAATCCAGTCATTATTGTATAGCGTTTTGAAGTCGTTGTAGGCGATGGCAAACTTCTTTCCATTTGCTAAAGCATGCTTGAGAGGTGGGTCGAACGGAGCTGGTACCTCTTGCTCCTTGGGCTCATCATCCTCTCCTTCTATTAGCAATTCTCCGTTGTCACCCATAGAGACGGCCTTAAACTCTGAATCTTGCAGCGCAGATCGCGTTGCTGACCGAGTGGCCCTGCCGTCGAGTCTCTTACTAGGGGCCGGTAGGCTCGGTAGGCCGCTTTTAAGTACCAGGTCTGGAGATGACCTACCAGTGGGAGGTTGCGTTTCGCTTTCGGAACTTTCATTATGGTCAGACTCCACACGAACGAGCGTCTGTGGGTCTTTGTTGAGCAGCTCTCTCAGCTTTAAGATCTTGGAATAAATATGGTCAATGTTGTCTACTCTGGAGACAACACAATCGGGACCCCAGCGGGCCTCGTTCTGGTGGAAGAATCGTAGAAGATGTTCGTCGTCCCGTGGCTCGTACCTGACCATGATCTGGCCAAAGCGTTTGTGCAAAATGATCAAGAAGCAGTCCATCAGAGGGCTGAACAAGATCTTGTCGATGGTGTTCCTCGGAACGGCCATCTTGTCCACGAATGCGTTGTCGTAGCAGAAGAACAAATGATCTTTGTTTCGAGAAATCCGGAACTCAAGCGCCCGGGTCGAGCTCTTAATGCTGGTGTCGTTGTACTGAACAGACTTGATGTTCCAGGTATGCAAAGGCTTGTCGTTGAGTCCGTTCTCAACAATGGAAAGGGGCAAGAAGAAACAGCTTTTCATTTCATTCAGGCGCTGCTTGGTGTCCAAGGAATTCGGGCTGACCACACATATCGTGCCTCTGTTAATGGTTGTTTCGTCTGGAATGCCTATTTTCTTCACCTTCGGCAGAAGTAGGTTTTTCGGCTGCACGCCCAGCAGAACACGTTTTCGCAACAGCGAGAACTCCTTCCGTAGCAGCATTGTGGGTGCTGCGGCGTGGTATGGAGGAGGTTTTTGAAGAAAGCAGATGTGATCCAGGGAAAATAAGCAGTAGTGGGAGGCCCTGCAGGACCAGGCAACATCACCAAGCAGAAAACGGTGGAGGTGGATAAGGAGGCAGGGGTTTTTGGGGGCGATTCTTGGGAAGTCTGAATTAGATATACGTTGACGGAATTTTGTGTGTTTCGATGTTTGGGGAGGTTTGTGGTTTGTGTTTCTGGAAGCATGGGTGCGGGTCAGTCAATGTGTGGTTTCATGCAAGGTGGGGATCAAGGGGAGACTAATATTGAACATATATAATGAGATTCGAGGGATCAGTATGAAAAACTGAAAAGGTAGTTTTGTTGTGTGTGTGGCCCATTTGGGGATACAGATGTGGAGATGGTGGCTGCGAAAGGAGATAAGCTTTGCCTATATGCTTCGCATGTTATTGATCTCTTGATTGGGAATAGTGGGTGGTTACTTTTTGGAGTTTTTACAGACCGTATTATTTAATAATTTGTTTATCAAAGTAGGAGAATTGGTCGGTTGGATTGTGGGGGTAACATCCTCCACTCTTAGGTCCTCATGTGCGTAGAGAGACTGTGAAAGGTGGAGTGAAGAATCTGTTGGATGAGTGAGCAAAGTTCAAAATTTTCAGTTTTGTGAAGCTAAATAAGAATTGGATTGAGCTTCCAATTGCTACTCCGTGCCTCTATCTCGATGTGACTAGTAAATCAATCTCACAATGAATGATCAACGAACTACGAACAAACCAGTATATTTAAGTGAAAGTCATTCTTCGCTTCAATTCAATGAGGGAGTCCAGCATCTACTAAATTACCCGAAATCAAGTCTAGAAAAATCAGTCCAGATCTGTCAAAGCCATTGTCTATTGTCTTTGGCTGCGAAATGTTGTAGAATCATTGGCCAACAATAGAACTAAGTACATGGGGCACCAAGAGCGAGATTATATCACATTTGTATGCCAATAGCTAGCCACAGCGATTTGAGTTTTAAATTAAAAAAGAAGGTCCTTTTCCCGTTTTTGTCTCCTTCGATACATGCTCCTACTGTATGCTCACCACCTTGCCAGTGACTGGTTAAGCAATTGTGACACCCACAAAACGCCACCATGAATCGAACTTCATCACAATACTCCTATACCTCGTCATAATCAGTCCAACACTCGAATTATCCAATCAATGGCCTTGGCGACCCAAAATCGTGGCAGTTTCAAATCCTACCACGTGACCTCGCCTGGTACTCAATTCCACTCATTCATACTACCCCACCATTATGTCCATACTTAGAAGATTCACCAGACTCACTGCTCCCGTGCTTGCCTTCGGTGCCGGGCTTGCATTGTTTCCTGCGGAATGGCGAAAATCCAAATTCCAGCCCGCCAAGTTAACCCATTTCAATAAGGATGCCTTGGACAAGATCTCCAAATCAGACCTCTTCCAACAGCTAAAAAACGATCCAAACTACAAAATGTACTACAGCAGTGAAAGCTTTCCTCAGCAGCATCACAAGAACTTTGTCAGCAGGGGTATGCTTTTCGGACCTGACCTTTTCGAGGTTGACCCAGTCGTCTTCTTGAACGAGTCATCAGGTGAACTCACAGCGTTCTACCATTTGGGTAAAGAACTCGTAAGTGGGGACGGCATGCTCCACAATGGCATCACGTCTACCATTTTAGACGAGGGGCTCTGTGCCTGTGGATTCTCGAAGCTTCCGTCGAAGAAAGGCGTCACGGCTAATCTCTCCATAGACTTCAAGAATCAAGCGCAGCCACAGAGCACTGTGGTGTTGCGGGCACGCGTCGAGGAGGCTAAAGGCAGGAAGGTTGTGATTAAAGGCCACCTTCTGGTGTTCCCAACCAAGATTGGGGAAAGGCCGATGGAGATAGCCTCGGCAAAATGTGTTTTAGTAGAGCCTCGATGGTTCAAGTACTTTAGGTGGCTACAAATTTGAGGCGGTAGCAAGAGTTTTGAAAAAACATGTGCCTCGAGAGGTGCATTTGCCACAATTGGGGTTCCTGAAATGGTTCCCAAACAAGGCATTTGCGATTCACATGTTCCAAATTAGGCACGGGCCAGGGCCGATTGCTGACACGTATTGTTTACGAAAGGACTCTATAGATGCGTGCAGGGCCTTAGCCGGAAAATTGTTGCTTGGTTGTTTTCAAATGATGTTGCTGCTCTTGCTACCAACACGACAATTGAGGGATTCGAACTTCACCAGGTCAATTGAACCAAAGGTTCCCACAACTGCAAAGGGGTAATTCAATTGGTCCAGCAGCGCCCTGGTGACGCAAAAAATGACCTAGCAAGCGGTCCGCTATTGCTTGCTAAGTGCGTGGAAGTCACTCATCATGTTCAATAGAGCACCCTGCACAAGCACAGTGGGCTAAATGGTTGCTAAAGTAAAAATCGCAAGGTCCTTCCAGGGAATATAAATAAGGCCGTGGTTTCGTCGATTCTTTTTCCTCATCCAACTCAATCAATTAATCATGTCTGACACTGGCCGCAAAGATATCTCCGACAAAATTTCCTCCGCTGTGAAGCCTGACTCCCAGAAGTCCACCACTGAGTTGGCCAAGGACAAGGTCACCGACACTGTTGACAACACTGTTGGCGATAACTCTAGATCCGGCGACAAGTCCTTCATTCAGCAGGCCTCTGACGCTGTCTTCGGCGAGAAGAAGGAGTAAGTTCTGATTGACTCAGATCCAGCTTTTTAGCAATACAATACTTCTATAAATTTGAAACTGTAGGAACCAGTAATTTTCGAATTGCAAAGACCATATGCATGCATGGCGGTACGACTGCTCGCCTAATGATTATATCGTATTATGTATCATAGAGAAGTGGCTTGAGAGATCAAGCATAACTTAGTATTTTGCAGCCATTCCTGTATACAAAGACGTTAGGAAATTAGGAGATGCCGATCATATCAAAGCTCGAGGCATTCAAGAGTAGTCAATTGCATGAAGTACCTGCTTTGCTAGTGAACTTTACATACAGCTTCATCAGATAACTCAGTAAAACTGGACTCACAGTTCGGCGTCCTGCATATATACAAACATCAACACCATACGCGTCTGGATCTCAATATTCATCCAAACCTATCCACCATGACTACTTCTACCAATCCGGCAGAACAAGCCTATCTCGATTTATGCAAGCGTATTATTGATGAAGGTGAGAAAAGACCAGACAGAACCGGTACCGGAACAAAATCACTCTTTGCCCCACCTCAGTTAAGATTCGATCTTTCAGACGACACTTTCCCACTTTTGACCACCAAAAGAGTCTTCTCCAAAGGTATCATCCATGAGTTACTCTGGTTTGTAGCCGGTTGCACTGATGCCAAGGTTCTTTCCGATAAAGGCGTCAAGATCTGGGAGGGAAATGGATCAAGAGAATTCTTGGATAAGTTGGGTCTTACTGATCGTCGTGAAGGTGACCTAGGCCCCGTGTACGGCTTCCAGTGGCGTCATTTTGGTGCTGAGTACAAGACATGTGACGATGATTACTCAGGACAAGGCTTTGATCAGCTTCAAGACGTTATTCATAAGTTAAGAACGAATCCATACGACAGAAGAATCATCATGTCCGCCTGGAACCCACCTGACTTTGCAAAGATGGCCTTGCCTCCATGCCATGTCTTCTGCCAGTTTTACGTCAATTTCCCCAGCAGTGAACCCGAGGCCAATTCCTCAAAACTGGCAAAGACCGCCAGACCCAAGCTCTCTTGTCTCCTCTACCAAAGATCCTGCGACATGGGTCTTGGTGTGCCCTTCAACATCGCCTCGTACGCTTTGTTGACCAAAATGATCGCCCATGTTGTCGACATGGATTGCGGAGAATTCATTCACACCTTGGGTGACGCTCATGTGTACTTGGATCACGTCGAAGCCTTGCAAACCCAGTTTGAGCGCGAGCCAAAACAATTCCCCAAGTTGCACATCAAAGAGTCCCGCAAGGCAGAAATCACCGAGATTGATCATTTCAAGTTTGAAGATTTTGAGATTGTGGGCTACGAGCCTCACGCCTCCATCAAGATGAAGATGAGTGTATAATATTTCACTTAGCTAACCACCCTCCTGCGCTTTGACCGCCTATTGGTCTGCGCTAAGAGGTCGTCCTGCTCGACAAAGTCAAAAACAGCATCATCATCGTCGGATTCCATGTTACCCTTGCTGGTAATGTTGGACAATGGAGCACGTCTGCGGCGTCTGGTCCTTCTAACAGGCTCCTTCTTAACTTCTTTGGGTTCCTTCGATGGCGACTTGCTTCTGGTTCGGGAATGAGGAGCTCCCAAGTCTGGAACATTCTCAATGTTCTGGCGATCTGGTGAGCTTTGTTTGACGAGAGAGCTGTTCTTCGCAAGTGGCGAAGTCAAGTTGTCGTCCAACAATTCGAACAGGTAGTCTGCGTCCTTGGTGGCCTTTTCTTTTTGGTCGTCATAAATGGTGATTTTCGTTCCCAATTCCGGTGCAAGGCGTTTCCGTAGCAGGCTTTCCTTGATCGAAAGAGCAGTAGATTCCAGCTCTGAGCTCCATGGCCTGGTATTGGGGGCGCCCCAGGGAATGCCCAAAGATTGTGATTGGACAGATGCTTGTGGTCGCGACGGAATGGTTGACAGCTTTTCTTTCTCAGGGAGATTTGCCTCCTTCCGGAGTTGTTTGATTGCTGATGCTGTCTCCTCGCATTTCTTAAGGAACGCTTCTTCAAAGTCGTTTAGTCTGTTCAAGATGGATGCTTGATCGGGTCTGGCTGTAAACTCCTCACGCAAAGCATCCATTTCCTGGACTAGCAACTCATTCCGCTGTTCTGACTGCCGAATTGTGGCTTCCATTTGCTCAACTTTCGCTCTAAGTGCCTCCAATTCTTGCTGGTTTGGATCGCCGCTATCTTCGTGCATCAGCTGCCGCCTCTCTTTTTGTCGAAAAAATTCGTTGCTTACGGACACCCTAGCCATTATATATAGTTTGTGGTATATACTTTTTCGTGACACTCGCCAGATCTCGGAAGTGTAAACACTCGCACTGCATGTTACATTCGGATGATTCCCTGCTTGCGCATTTCATGCAGTTTTATCACAACACTCTTAAAACCACCTCCTTCGTGATGAAAAGCTCCGTTCAAGCAGCCATTGAGGAGAAGAGGGAAGAGCTCCTGCAACTTAAAGTGCTCAATAAGTACACATATGATCTTGTCTTGCAGCTAGAAGAAATACAGGAGAAACTTCTGACGATGGGCGATGGTGTGGAGAGCGTCGCTCTCATTTTGTCAAACTGGCAGAACGTAATAAATTCCATCAGTCTAGCGTCCATGGGAGTCATGAAGTACTCTTCAAAAGATTATAAGGAGACACAACCCTTGCCTGAAACATTGGTGAGAATCAAGCTCGACAAAGACTCTGAAGAAACCGAAAATTAGCGCGTCACTTCTGCTTTGATGCTGTCAACCCAAAGATTAAGGGACAATTCATTGACGAGCCTGACAAGTTCAGCTTGTAAAGGCTTCTCTGTTGGATGGTTGTCCCGAAGAAGGTTGTCGAGGATGCTGTATAACTCGGTCTTGTCGTCCAAGTTTGATAAAGTATAGAACAAGACCAGCTCGTGAACGCGTGCTTTGTTGACCTCATCAGTATTTTCACTAGTGGATGTTATTTTGGCCCAGTCATCGGTCAGCGTCAAAAGGGTCAACCAAATTTTAGCGACCTGTTCACGGAACTCAGCATCGTTTCCTATGGATGAAGCGACTTTGAATGCATCGACAAATACACGTTTCAATTGCCCAGTGGGGTTCACTCCGATAAGTAACGCTATGAGCTGAGCCTTGGTGAGAACCTTCAGATCAGCAAATCTTTGGAAATAAGGCTCTAATTTTGGAAGCACGTTGTCCCGGAGCTTGGGATTGGCAAAGTTTTGTGCGAAATAGTCAAGTGTTATCAACTCTTTTTTGTTTTGCACGAACAGGGAAATTGTCTCATGGAGATGGTTTTGGATTCTCACGGCCACAAGATTGTTTTCCGCCTCGATGATGGATTCATCAAGGTCCATTGCATCCGGAGAAGCAGGCAGTTGGAGTTTAGCGGTGATTGCCGTGAGCTTCGCGAGAGAAAGACTCAATTCTCTGTTCTCTTGATTATCAGTCTCGTCCCTTGCTGCGAGTGAGTTGAGAATCTTTGATGCGTCGCCGAACTCTTGTCTCTGCAAGCTGTGAATCCAGGCGACTTGTGCAAACCTTTTTGAGTTCGATCTCAAAAATTGATCAAGATATTCATCAGCATCTTTGAAATTTAGAAGAAGACGCTGAATTTGATTTGTTTTGATGTAGTGCTCAAATAGCTTAGAAGCGAATTCATACCCGTGGGCATCAATGTATTGACGAAGCTTGTAGTCAACGATCTCACTTGAGGTGCTATCCCGTTCACTCTCCAAAATGTAAGCCAATGACGAGAAGTCATGAAATTTCTCTGCAATTGCCAGGGCTTCCTCCGTAAGACTATGTTTCAACAATGCTGAGACCCACTTCTTTCTGTTCGTACGGAACCACTTAACGTACGATTCTAGTTCTGGATCATCCGAGTCTTGCATGCTTTGAATGGCCCTGGTAGTGATGTAGTAGAATGATTCGGTGATGCTGACCAAGTCTAATCTATCTTGAGTATTGAATGACTCGAAAGCTTTATTGTAGGGGCCGAATGCTTTTTCAAAAGAGGAAGCAGCAGCTTCCATCAACTCCGATCTCAAGATCCAAAGCTTGAAAGGATTGATCTCGGGTACATCAGAAACGTATCTCGCCTCATTTTTCAACACACCCTCGTAGAGCACGCCCACAAGAATTTTAACAGCCAAACGATCGGAATGGTTGGAGCCTTGAAGAGACTTGAGAAGCTCGGCCACAAGATAGTCGACCTTTTCGGCCTCGTAGGCGAAGAATGCCCGTGCAATATCGGTGGAGTCCGTCACGTATTGCTTATCCTGAATAATGGAGATCGATTTGTCTCTCAAGAGGGCAGATTCTGCAGTCCCAGCGTCCATAAGACTCCACAAGTGTTGTGCAGCATCTAGTTTCTCTAAAGCCTGAACAATGTCTGGAACCACCACAAACCAGAAGTCTTCGAAATTATTCTGGACAAAACTCACAAGTTCTCTCAAGGCATTGGCTCGCGCCAAAAGCGAATCCCTGGTGGATGAAAAGAATGGAGGAAGGGAAGAGCTCAGCGAGTTCAATACCTCGTTCACAATGGAAGTGGTGGCTTCTTTCACAGTGTCTAACAGATAAATAGGATCGACATCAAAGTCCATGGCCTCAGACTGATGGTAGAAGATTGCTTGTTGCATGTGGGATTTGAGCAAGTATACCGGGTCAGTTGGATCCTCGATGTACTCTTTGGATTGCTGATCCTCGGGGAATCTTTCGACTCTCAAAAGTCCAAAGTTGTTGGTCATGACGATGACGGCGGGGTTAGCAGACTTTTCTTCTTTGTTCTCGTATCCGAGGCCAATAACCTCGACACCAGCCTTAAGCTTAACAACGTCCTCCCATTGTGGTCTGTAGTATGAGAATGTTGGGTTCGCTGACTTGTTCTGCTGAAGGAACGACGTGTTCATGTCTGTCATTATGATGGAGTTACCCACAGAGACAAAAGCGGTGGAGCATGGGTTTGGAATGAAAAGTCTTGGTTTGGAGTCTGTAGGTGGTACCTGAGGCAACTGGTGAGAGCCATACAAAAGCACACCGCTCTGATCAATTTTCAACGTGACCAAAAGGTAATTCTTTTCGGCGTAGCCGTTGACGGAGTTCTCAACGCCCACTAACGCCGTGTACAAGTTGTCGGCGTCAGCCACGTTCAACTTAGAAAGGCCCAAGAACCTCGTATTGATGAGAGCACCGGGAATAACACCGTCGATGCTGTTTTCAAGGTACGGAGCCAAGTTGTAATGGAGCGTACGTCTATGGTCAATGTACTGCTGGCCGTTGGACGAGTGTCTGAAAACGAACTTTTTGAAGGAGCCCTTGGCGTCCTGAACAATGATTTCCTGCTCCAGGCCATCGAAACCACCCAGTTTGATGCTAACAACCTCGTCACCGGGCTCCACAGAGCGAGAGCCAAAGAAAGAGAATAATCTGGACGCTTTCAGTGGGCCTATGAGCTCAAGCGAGGACAAGGAGGGTCTTCCATGGAGGTCTCTGAGAGTGATCAAAACGACCCTTTTCCAGTTTGTAGCCACGACTATACCAGCTGGTTCGATGTTCTCAGCAAGCGTGATAATCTCACCGTTGTTCAAGTCGACCTTGGTCTCGATCCGATCGCTGTTGATGATTCCCAAAGCTGGTGCATGCTGAACAGATTCATAAAAACGGACGGTTCCGGCGATAGTTTCAATGACAACAAGTCCAGGATCCAAACTCAGTGCGCCCAGTGGTCTCGTGAGCAATCCTAGCGTCAAGGCGTCGCTGTTTATAGGAAACTCAAACGTTATAGGTGTAGCATCCGTAGATCTGTAAGGCCAGGCGTTGATTGTCTGCGGACCAACCACAAGAGCAAATTTGGTGGCATTGTCCGTGTATCCGTTGAGCAAAACCTCGTCGTCCTCTCCATTTTCCAAAAGAGCAGGCAAAGCTGGAAGACGAGAAACACAGTACTTGTCGTTCTTTGTGAGCTCCCATCCAGAGTACGCCGTGGCATTGGCCAACGACGTCAGCAGCAAATCGCCCGATATGTCCGCAAACAGGTGCCGGACGGACGTCGGCTCCGTGGCGAACTTTCTAGGTTTGAACATGCTCAAGAGGTGTTGTTGATGGTGGTGATGAGAAGTCGCACTGTGGGCAGTACTGGAGTATGTTGGAAGGAATGGAGGGTGGGAGAAAAAAAGAGAATAGGGTGTGGAGGGGGTGTTATTTTAGGGTCAAGGAATTGGATTCTTACCTAAATGTTATCACAATTGGTTTAAGAATTTGTTGGTTGTGTTTATGGGCTGTGGGTTGTGGATATGTGAAAAATGGTGTTCACAGTTGATGGGTACCACAAAGAAGAATTCGGTATCGCAGTGGAAGTAATCCATATACGTATATTACTGATCAATGATGGGTCATCTTGGTGCACATTAGTTGGGTTGTCTACTCTGTGTTCACTAGACAGTGGCATCATAATGGCTGCGAAAAACAGCCTTGTATTTTGTAGTGAAGACTTTAGGTCGATTGAATGTGCCGCTATTGAAACACGTTGAGAAAACACTTTATTTCCTATTCTTTTCCTTTTGAATTATTCGTATTAACCTGCTTGTGACGTTTTTTGGGTACACATACCAGATCAGCCAACCCCAGACCACACTCCTGGCTGAATTTCCACTGTCTTAATAGAAATCTTTTGGTAAATATCACAGTGAATGACTATTCTCTCACAATTATCGAGCATTGTCTTCTTATTTTGTTTGTTTGAAGACAGTTTACAAATACTTCTCAATGGCCTCGGCTTTAAATTCGCTGATTACATCCTCATGGAATAGTCACCAAGTGACTCCCTCGATCTCAAACATGATTTTTACAGTTCTCTACAATACCTCCAGCTAGCACTCTTTAAAAAAGCCTCTCTAATCCTCATAGCAACCTACACATCCAAGTGTCAATGATTTTTTAATTAATGTACATATGCACCCTATGGTAAGCCAGGCATGCCATCACTGATAGCCAAAGCCTCTATACGGCTTCATGCTCTTCCTTTACTCAGCAACCTTCTGCTTCTTCTCAGGTGGCTCCTCAATGTAGTCCTCCTCGTCAAACTCGGCCTCGTCAACCTGGTCGTACCTCAGCTTAAGACCCTTCATCTTTCTCGTCTGCAACTTGCTCAAGTCCTGGTTACCAACGTGGATCTTGGCCACCTTGTCACCCATAGAATCGGTCTCAACGTTCTTCTTGAACTTGGCCTGGAGCTGCTTAGGTTTGGTGAGAGCATCCTTCTCGACCTCAGGAGCTGGAGTGACTCTACGGCCAATCTTGAAGTCGAAACGGGGGCCAATCTCGTCGACCTCGACACGTGGCAACTTCTGTCCACTTCTGTAGGACTTGAGCTTGTAAACACGGAAATGCACAAGAGGAAGCTCCAGGGAGTTGGGGTCCTCGATTTCAGCAACGGAAAGGGAAATGATGTACTGCAAACCAGCGACATCCTGAAGGTCGGTGTCATCGCCACGGTAGAAGTCCAAAAAGAGGGACTTCACCTGCTGGTACACTGGGTGGGAGTCGAAAGCTGGACCGTTGAATGTGAACATGGGCTTGAGACCAATGTTGAAAGTGAGCTTCTTGAACTCGGTGATGAACTTGTGGTTCTTTTGGATGGAGAGTTCAATCATATCGTAGACGGCGTGGTTGTAGAAACGGGTGAAAATAAGCGTGTTTGGTCTCTTCTTGTTGGAAGAGGAGAAGACCATCAAGGAGGTGTCGTTCTTCTCAGAGAAGAACTCTAGCGTGGAAGCGTCCTCAAAAGGTCTAACCTCGTTTTTCTTAGAAAAGATCTTGGCGTCTGGCTTCTTCAAAGCCATCAAGTCCACCATGGCATCGTGCAAAAACTTGTTACCGGTGGATCCTTGCACAAAAAGAGCTGTCTTCGTGTTCTCCACGAGCTTGGCCTCCTTCTGAGCCAAAGCCCTCTTGGACCTAGCGTTCTTGGGTTTTCTGAGGTTAGTATAGATTGAAAATTAGGCTGATGTGGGCACATACATTGTTCTGATCATGGTGGAGAGTTGGTGATGCTCATCGAGAAAATTGAAGTACTAGGGCGCACACGCAGGACAGATGCTTCAGGGCGGAGAGAGTGGTACAAGGATATGGGTTTAGGGCAGAAAAAGTAAAGACGTTACTTAGTTTTATTTAATGTTTGCAATTAGCTTGGCAGATACGTTTTTATTGTTTTGGACGATGTTCGGATTGTCCGTTTGAAGGTGGAGGGCTCTCCGATTGATTTGGCAGAAAGCAATGTTTTTTTTCTTTTCATTTTTACTAATTAACAGCAAATTGAGCGAAATAATCATACTCGAGATGATTCTCTTTCCTCGTGGTGAATGCCTTGCATGATGTTTCCTTTGCTCCCTTGGATATCATAATGGCTGCGAAAAGTAGTGGTGCACAAGACAAGAGTACACCCCTTCCAGCCCTAGATATACTCTTAATTAATTCTTCTACCATCTGTTAGTAAACGGGCTTCTTGATGCCGATCGTTTTTGGTATCGCTAAGCATTGGTGACATCTACAACTGTAATAGTACGCATTCACGAATATAGAGAATCACCTAATTGGCTTTGGAGTGACAACTTCTCCAGAGCAATATTCCAGCTTGTTGTTTGACTTTTTAGCCAGAGCCGAATACTAACTCTTCAATAAGTAGACTGTAGCTCAGTAGAGACATAGTCATAAGAAGGATGGACGCCGTAGCACTGAAAACAGTACTGCAAAGTACACCCAATACACTTTCTTTTGTTCAATATTTGAATCATCCTCATTGAAGAAACCCAAGAAAAGTTGACCCGTAGATGGATCTTCACTGATCGCAAACGGATCTAGCTCGTCACATTGCAAACTAAGCATATTACAAATTTCCATACTTTCGATATTTAGTCAAAACGGTTTGTCCCCTTGCCCCTCCGGAAATTGGACTGTCTCGCTTAGCTCTATTGTTCCTCACAAGTGAGACATTGTTCATGTACTCCAGAAAGTCCGAGCCGGAGCCACAAACCCAAGATTCTTGCCAAACAGCACCAATTGGGTATTTTTGGCCATTTCTTGGATTCCATCACAAAAAACCTTTTCACCAGCTTCTTCGGTAAATCTTCCCTACCGAAGATTCCATGGGACCCTGGTGGGGCTGGTTTCTCGTGAGCCGCAGCACTCTTGGCATATAAATAGGGCGGTCTGTCTGGCAGTAGCCTATACGATTTTTCTCATGGAAAGATTGAAGTTTTCAATAGCGGAGACATTATCCACATTAGGAAGGAAAATTCCAAATGTAAAGCCCAAATGTAAGCTCGATTGTGTGTGTTGTGCACCATTCAACAGGAGGGGTCCCACATGTTGATCTGTGAGCAAAAAGCGCTATTCTACACTAAATCAAATAGTTACATCCACTAACTGACCTTGGCAGAGATACTCAATGTATTAAATAAGCTTTACAAGTCCCAAGGAACGGCTAACGAGGACGTCAATAAAAATACTAAGAGTTCTTTATGATTTTCTAAGTTTGCTGGAAACGATAGAGAATTCCATCACTGATGGCTTTTCTCCTGTTTCTACCAGCCTCCAACTAAAAAGCACCTAAACTACCCCAGCACCATAAAGTACGTGATATGCTCGACCTGTGAGCTGCAGATCACATACGAGTTCCCCGAGGCGTTACCTACATGAAGCTGGAAGGTTGCATTAGAATTAGACTTTTGTTAAGAGAATGGCATTTCTTCAAAAGTTTTGCAAAATACCCCTAGTCCCTCGGAAACTGGAGTCACACCTTTACTGCCGCAGCCGTCAGAAGATCTCGCCGCACGAACCGTACTAACTCGTAAAGCCCGAAACAAAAACAAAACAAAACAAACAAAAATCAAACTTTTCAATTGACTTTCTTCAATTTAATAGAACCCACTTTTCTATCAAAAGAATCATCGTCACAGCCCCGCCTAGACCGCCGCTTCTCCACAGAACTGCACCAAGACAGCACTCATCGCAGCACCGGCAGGCTTTTTCTCCCGCGAGTTTCTTCTGCCGGGAGCTTATCTGCAGGAGATTGCGTAAGACGAGTTTCTATCAAAAAAAACCATCACCACACCAGCCCCACCGTGCCAAAGCTCCTTGCACTGTCACTAGTCGCCTTCCCTGTGCCAGTAGGACAAGTATCGCTGTACTGCATACGCGTCTGCTAGTGCCTTTTGCGCTCTGCAATCACGCTCAAAACCGTCCCCTTTCCTCATGAGCACTACCCCAAAAGACAGGGAGAGAAACAGCCCCATGAGCTCCTCCGAGGGTCTCAGTGGTTCTCTGAGTCCACGATTAGTGAGACCGACGGCGCCTCCGGTTAAGAAACAGCGCTCCTCCTCGATGAATTCCGTCGGCTCAAATCACTCCTCCCATCAGCGAAGCATGTCTATCATAAGTCTCGAGCTGCCACGGAACCTGATTATTTCGGTGGATGATAACTTTTTGAAACCGTCCCGCAACGATAGCACCGCCAGCTTGAGCTCCATGGGCGTGGCGCTGCCCAATGAGCCGGCTAAGGATAACTACATCATAACTCATAGGCACAAGCTCCGTCACAAGAACAACACCAGCGCCATAATGCTGGACGAGGACTCGGAGCTGGAGATCCAGATCGGCAAGGCCCGCTGGCGCCGCAATTCCAGCGAGAAGCGCGTGTCGTCGTTGCTGAGTGTCAAGAAGGACTACAAGTTCAAGTTTGACAAGAAGAAGTCCAAGAGCCACCTGGCCACTTCCAACCCGCAACCCAGCGTGTCGTTCACACATCCTCCTGCGGCGGCGGTCCTCGAAGATCCCGTCTCGCTGCCTCTTTCCCTCCATGAAGCATCTTTCCCCTCACTCACAAATGTTCTCCACCATCAGCATCATCAAAACCAGCACCTGCATTCCTCCCAGCATCAGAACACTAACCAGTCACCTCCACCGCCACCCCCTCACCTGCCGAGCACCCTATGGGGCCAGAACTCTCTGAAGTCACAGTCTCCAGGAAGCATAAGCCCAGACGATACTGAAATTCTGGGCCAATTGCGTACTCCAAGCAAGAAGGTCCGCAGCTCCTCTATCACTCAGTCCATGTTCTTGAAGAGGCGCATGCTTCTCCTGAAAGACCTCCAATTGGAGTTGCTCGAGCTGAATGCCTCTCCAAACTCATCTCCAAACGTCATGAGCTCCGACACGAAATTTCCCACCCCAGCACTGCCCCAGCCCCACAGACCCGGCCTGAGTATCATCGACGACAATGTCTCTCCATCACAAACCTTTAATCCACTTCGAGCTCTCCGTTCGCCATCTCCTCCACCTCAATGCTTCTTTGCAGAAGAGACCAGCACGAGGCAGCAGAACAAACTCATAACCGAGCTCAACCGAAAGTGGAACAAAGGTGTGTTTGACTCATCAGAGAAACGTCCTGAACTCAAAGATCCTTTGATGGCAGTACCAGCCCCATCAAGGAAAAGGGATCGTTCCGAGCTGGTGTCCAGTTCGGACAGCCATGCTATCTACTAATTTATTGCTTGCATCTTCTTAATGCCTTGTATTAATATACGGACCCACCTTGGGCACATCTAAAGTACCACCTCGTCATCCTTGTGCACCTTCAATTCGCTGAAGAACGGCAATTTGAGTAATTGCGAAGCACTGAGTCGCTTCTGCGGATCCATGCTGAAGCACCCGTAGAGCAACAGTAGAAGGTGCTTGAGGTCAGTGTAGCCCTCAAGCTTCTGCTTGTATTCTTCGTATTGAGCGTCAGTGGCGTCAGTTTCAAGAGTTGGTTTCAATAAAACGTGATTCTTAGGATCAAGGTATGCTAATGTGTCGTGAATGACACTGTCTGGCGGAAGACTTTCGTTTTCTTTTTCGTGGTGAAGGATTGACGACAAGAACTTGATGAGGTTGCCATTGAAGCTGGAAGAAACTGCTGATTGCAAATTAACCTCCAAGCCACAGCCGTGCAATTCGACTGCCTTTGAAAGCTTCTCTTGGCCGAATATCAAGAGAATCTCAATCAAAGCATCGATGTCGTCAGGAGAATTGAAAAGGGGAAACTTGCGGGCCAATACTGATAGGCCAATCACGCCAGCGGACCAGATATCGATCTTTGTCGTCTGGTTGGTGCACTTGAGAAGAACTTCAGGTGCTCTGAAGCCTCTAGTACCCGCTCTATTTGCCCGCCGAGGAGGACGTTGGTCTAACTTTGGATATGCTGCTTTGATGTTTAGACGCTTGGAATGCGTACGTGCAATAGACTTGTCTTTGGAAAGACAGGGACATGTGTTGGAGGATCGAGTGTTGCTCAGTGAGTACGACAGAGGCATCTTCTCTGCCAAACCGAAATCAACCAAGACTCCTTTTCCTTTGAACGGGTCGTACAAGAAGTTGGTAGGCTTCAAATCACGATGCATGATGCCCTTGCTGTGGACAAATTCAAGGCCTTGGAAGAGCTCCCACATGTACTTCTTGATTCCCTTGATGGGGATATCTCTATAGAAGTCTCTGAAGTCAGCGTGCTGGTAGTACGGAAGAATGGCCAAGACCTGGTCGTGAAGACGTAGAATGTCAAGCAATGGAGCGACATGTGAGTTTCCACTGAGCATATAAAGAAGATTGAGCTCGTTGTAGATTCTGTTTGGAGAGGATGTGACGTAGATCTGCTTCAAGGCAACCAATGGGTTCTTCTGCTTCTTGCTGCCTTTCTTGGACAGCACTTTCTGAAGCGGCGGCAGCTTCCACATCTGCGAACCTAGCAAGACAGCCCCGTTCATGGCCTCTGCTTTGTAGACTGTGGAGAATGTACCTTCACCGATTTTGTCAATGAGTCTGTACTTCTCAGCCAAAACAGGGAACGACTCCTCAAGCTTATGCATCTCCTCAAGCACCTCCAAAGTCACGTTCTCGTCGTCCTCCTCGTATCTTGACTCTTTAAGCTCCTTGCCTTCCCTGTTTTCCTTGTTTTCCCTATTTTCCTTTTTAGCCTTGCCTTCCCTCTTTTCCTTCAGCTCCTTAGACTCCCGAGCCTCCTTTGGTTTCATCAATTTCAAGTTCTCGTCGCGTATAAACGTCGCCTCCTTGCGTTCCACCCTGGGTTTCTTCTTCGATGCTCTATCATCAAAGGGATCCAGGCTCTGGCGTTTTCCGTGGATTTCTGCCAAGTTGGACGTGTTTTCACTCACTTCCTTGAGCGGCGACACGCGCTCGCGAAGTTTTTTAAACGTGGTCACGAGGCCGTCCATGGAAGAGTTGTGGTCTGAGAAGAAGTTGCTTGAGAGGTGTTTTGGTGGATCGTGTAGGATGTAAACAGCGCGTGATCTACGGCACGTGTAAGCGAACTGGCGTTTCCCAGGGGTTTTAAAAGGGGAAAAAAGGATTTTCAAGAAATTGACTCTGAAAGTTCTTTTTCAAAGAGTTTTGATTTTTTTGTTGTCCTTTGGAGCGTTTTGTGGTGGACGTCTAGGTATGTTAGACGGTGCGATTGGCTGCGAAATCGATGCAGCATACAATGGGAGATCGAGAGACAATAACGGTGTTGACTGTTTCTCGAGAATGCAGAGGATTTCAAAAGCTACTAACAAACGGAAGCTTTTGAAGTTGAAGTGGGTCAATTCCAATTATGTTAGGCGAATTGGGGACTTCAAAAAGTTCATGTATTGTGGTTGGTGTGTGATGTTATATAGGTGCCCTAAATCAATTAATTAAAATGTGATAGTTGACACGGCAGTACAGGTGAAAGCTTTTTAGATTATCTAAGTGTTGAGAGGTCCAATCAATATACAAGGGACTTTGCAGGAAGTGTTCTTTTGATGCAACTCCGCAGAACCTACCACTATTTCTACAATGAGGGAACTGTAGTGCTCAAAAGGGCCGACATAATTCCTTCTGTTCATGAACAATAAGCTGTCTTCCCTTCTCCGACAATCAAAAGATCTGCCCTTTCTCTCACGTCAATTCTCGAAAGGCATCCGACTTTTCAACGGCTGCGAAATCCATCTTCAAGCCAAACCTAAGAAACACACAGAGCTAATTTCGACAGACTAGTGTTACAATCGCCAACTTTGGCCTCAATTAAACCAACACGCCTGTTATTTTTCCAAAAACCATGCCCTTAGGGCTTTTCACTTGGGGACCACTGGCCCAATAAGCGACGACATTGTCGCGGTGTCGCGGGCTCTCAAGTAAAAAAAAATCTCCATCACCAAAGAACAACCATGTTTTCTGCACCAAACCTCCGTGTGGTTCGGGTCCAGGCGGCTCGTTCCTTTAAAAAGAGAGCAGATTACCTCACGGTTCCCGTGGACATCCCCAAAAAACACCCAAAGTCCCACGATGGTCCTTTGAAGCGTCAGCTCAAAGGTTTCCTCGGACCCAGAAACATCAGAGGTGAATACCACACCAACAAGTACTGTTACCCCCCACAGAATCACCAGCCACTGTATATCGACGAGAGAAACTCCCCTCGAGTGACGCCGGGTGCTGTGCTGCAAGAAAGACCTCCATCCAGAGACCTTTCCAGTCAGCCTTTCCCAGCTAACAAATACACCCAAACGGCACAGGTGATTCTGGACGACTTGAAACAAACGATATTTTCGGAGGTGGAGGAGAAGGGACGCAACGTCCAGGAGATCGCCCATAAATACGGCATTCGTCTTCCTCGTGTGGAAGCATTGGTGAAACTACAGCGCATTGAGAGACAGTGGAAAGCAGAGGTATGTACATTTGGATTCCAAATGATGAGATTAGCTTTTAAAAAATTTTCGATTAGTCTTGAAGACCCATCCGTGGTTAGAAATTTGCTCCTGAAGGAACTTTCAAAGAATCATACTAACAATAATCAGAACAAAATCAACAAGGACCTTGAAAAATACGCCAAGGTGATGCACAAGATGTTCCCCTTGTTTTACCCACCCAAACACAAGGACAACTTGACGGAAATCCCCACTCCCGGCAAGACCTTGCACCAGCGTTTTGTCACCATCTCTGAATCTGAGCCTTTTGGCCCTGTAGACGCTGCTAAGATTTTTGGTCTTGAGCCCGCCCAAGAGACGCTTAACGCCTTGTCGGAGTTTGAAAACGTGAGCGATTCTCCCAAAGTCAGACACAACGACGTTGTGGTTGGAGTCCAGAAGGATGGCGACGACGCCCAGTTCCGTTTCACCAAAGCCACTTCTGGCAATGTCGGTTTCCGTTACGGTGCATCCCGCAGAGACAAGAAGAGAGATCGTGCCGTGGGCTTTGACAAGCTTGGCCGCATGGTGTACACCGTATAGACTTGTAAATATTACGCATTGATGAGGAGGCTGTAGAGCCGAAGATAGGATTAAGGAGAAGGTGAAAGCACCGCAACGGAAGCACAAAAGGCACCGTTATTTGCGCTTATGGGCCTTGCCCCTCACCCGGAAACAAAAATGCCTAAAATGCCGATTCGGGTTTAGCGTCTTGTATGTTCCTTTCGTTGCACATAATTCTTGACTAAAGCATGCGAGCCCTCACAACGGTTGCAAAAAAAAACTAACCGACCCACTGTCGATCCAAAAGAGGCTTAACCTGTCTTCTTCAGATCAAGCGACAGATTTTGCCTTTATCCCCACGTTCCCGAAGGTCTCGCCAAAAAAATCCCATGTCCCTGAACCCTAAGTCCACTCCCGCCGGTACATCAATGAAGAGTGCCAGAGTACATCAATGAAGTTGCAAAGCTGACAATCGGACATTGGTTGCTGGCGCCCGTGGCACCGGTGGGACGCCACAATGAGATAATGAAATTTGGAAAACAAGGACAATGGCGCTGTCTACACAATCAGAGGTTTGTCTGCAGCGACCAGAGTGCCCTATGAGAGGTGAAAAGTTGGAAAAGACCGTGTGTGATAATTGGCGGGCTGGTATAAAGCACTGGCTGGCTTCTTGGAAAGGGGGTCCAGCACCATGAAGTTCGATTTTTCTCTTTTAGCTTTCGCCAGCTTTGCTGCTGCTGCTGTGGTTCCATTGCAGGACTCTCAAGAGCTTGTTCAGCGTGATGATAAAGACCCGCCTGCCAAATTTGTTCAGAGCCCTGCGCCGTTGCTCAAGACAACCAATGCCTTGAAAAACAGGTATATTGTTGTCTACAAGGACGACGCTCTGGAGGACTTCAAAACCAGCTTTGGTGACTGGATCACTCTGACGCTTCTTGCCAAAAGAGACGGTTCTGCTGACAAACTCCGCTCTTTCGGACTTGGTGACCTCAGCGGTTACGTTGGTCTTTTTGACGACGACATCTTGGAATCCGTCCGGAATAGCGCTGCCGTGAAGTATGTGGAAGAGGATGCTGAGGTTTCTGTTGAAGCCATCGCCACACAGAAAAACGCCGAGTACGGCCTCGTGAGAGTAAGCCACCGCCATAACGCCAATAACGGAAACTACTTCCATAATGACGAGGCCGGCAAAGGTGTCACTGCGTATGTGGTGGATTCTGGAATCATGTACGACGATCCCGAGTTCGAGGGCAGAGCTTCTTTTGGTAAGCTGGTGGCCCAGCCAGACGAGAAATACGATACTTTGGGCCACGGCACCCATGTTGCCGGCACCATTGGGTCCAAGACGTATGGTGTGGCTAAAAAGGTGGATCTTGTTTCTGTGAGTGTGTTCAACACCAACGGCAGAGCCAGCATTTCCGACATTTTGACTGCGTTTGACTGGGTCGTCAAGGACCACGACAAACGAAAGGGCAAGAAGGGATTCAGGGGATCCACTCTCAACATGTCCATTGGCGGTGTTTTGTCTCAGGTTTGGACTGACGGTATCAATGCTGTGGTGAATGTTGGAATCCATGCTGTTGTCTCTGCTGGAAACGAACAACAGGATGCTTGTGATTTTAGTCCTGGTGCTTCGGACGCCATCACTGCTGGTGGCACCGACGTCAACGATGACAGGTATGGAGGTTCCAACTACGGAAAGTGTGTGGATATCAACGCTCCTGCTGTGGACGTTGGATCTGTCGGATGGAAGGAAACGCCTGACTACAAAACAGGGACGTCGATGGCTTCTCCCCATGTTTGTGGTGTTGTTTCCTACCTTTTGTCGTTGTTCCCTGGTCAAGGTTCGGAGTTTGCCTCCACCATAAAGCCTACTGACTTCAAGAAGTTGGTGGCGGACTTTGGCACGAAGGACAAGATTTCGAATCTCAAGAGCGACACTCCCAACGTGATTGCCTACCAGGGTGGTAAGAACCCACTTGCGTTTTGGGTCTGATGGCGTTTGATGGATGTGCTATGATAACGATTATGCCTTGTGTTTTCTGGCCGTTGTGGCCGATATGTTTATTCCGTTCACTAGACCGTACGGTCTGTACTATGAGCCGCTGTGCTTTAAAATGTACGCTTTTTTTGTTCGTTGTTGTTGTAGGTGTTGAAGAGAGGAGTAAGGACATTGTGGACAGAGACGATTATTGTAGTAAACATGGAAAGTCATCTTTATGGTTTAAATGTGTTTAGAGGCAACAAATGCAGCTTACTAGATGTTAAGAAGGGTAATTGTCTGGTGTTAATTGACATGGCATCTCGTTTGCAGCCACTTCTTTGGTTGATTCAAGGTGGACAAAAGGCGACAAAGAAGTAGCTGAACGAACGAGCTTCTTTTAAGAATTTCCACTGTCTTTTTGGAGCAGCTTCTTCCAGTAAAAATACCTTTGCTACGAATTCTTGTGATTTTAGGTGTTCTACGAAGACATTCGGTACGGTTACTACACCTTTGCCTAGCATTCGAAGTCATAATTTTTTTCTTTTTTTGTTTCATCTGATTAAATGGAAAACCCTATTTAATTTTACATAGAAAAAACCACCCTATCAGCTTCCAGACTAGCACCACTTGACCACACCTGTGAACTAAGTCGTCCCCCTGTGTCGCCACTAGGTCCTAGCCCGCCACTAGGTCCTAGCCCGCCATTAGTCTCTACCAAAAGCCTACACAGTCAGAGACAGAAAAAACTTTCGAAATCTTCAACTTTTTGATTCTCCAAATTTTTCAACCAACTCAGTTATTGCTTTTGGTCTAGTTCATCAATCTTTGCAACATTGGCCGATGGCTGCGAAAAGTGCAAATTTCACCAACTACGCCTGTTTCATTTATCTCAAAAAGAATAAACTTCAACTACACAAACGACTATCAATTTCAAAATAAACACACCCAAGAAGCCTAATATCGAATTGACCCAATAAAAATAATACACTGCATGCCCTGCCCATCCACTACATCACTGCAGTTCTAGACCCTACCAACCCAGCCTTCACGAGCCCATCAATTCAACCAACTCACCTCCTCTTATTCCATAAAAATCACGATTCATTTCCACCCTTCTATTTCCCATTTTGTTTTTTTCAGGTCCGAATTCGCCGTGCCCTTGGTTCCTACCTAGACCGTGCCCGCACCCATACACCTGTCTTCTCACCATTTCTGACACGTCCGAAAACATAAACCTCATCCTCATGTTGGCTCGTGTCGTTGCCCTCGTGGCATTCATCCAGTTGATCGCTGCTTCAGCGTTGACTTTCAACCTTCCTGCTAAGGAGAAGGCGTGTTTTTACATTTTCACCCTGCAGCCACGTACCCAGGTCAGCTACTACTTTGCAGTCCAGCTGGGCGGTGATTTCGATGTGGACTACATGATCAAGAGCCCTACTGGCAGAGTTGTCTACCAGGACACCAAGCAGAGACAGGGCAACTTTGTGTTTGACGCCGAGACCGTTGGTGAGTACGAGTTCTGCTTCCTGAACGAGATGTCCACTTTTGCTGAAAAAGTGGTGGACTTTGAGATCAAGCACGACAGCGCCAACCAGAATCAGTACAAAGCGCTGATGCCAGAGCCCAGCAATCAAAAGCCCCAGAGGCACGTGGAGGGCATGAAGAGGACCGCTGACGAGATCGACAGACAGTTGGACGAGCTCAAGTACGCCTTGCAGTACTACAAGACGAGAAACAACAGAAACCAGGCCACCGTGCGCTCCACGGAATCCAGAATCTACTACTTCTCCATCTTGGAGGTGCTTCTCATGGTCGGAATGGCCGTCTTGCAGATCTCCATCGTCCAGTACTTCTTCAAGGGCTCCAGAAAGCAGCTCGTGTAGATACCAGCACATAATACATATCATCTTCGCTTCAAGTGTAGGGCACAAGTGCAATATTCTACTGACTCCTTGATACGGTCTACAATTCTTTACCTTCTCATCTATTATACATAAGTGACCCGTTCCCTACTGGCCAATCGGACAGTTTCTCAAGTAGTCCACCTTGTTCTTCAACACACGGACAGACTTGAGGAAGATTTCCGTAGGCGCCATGGCACCTGTGGATTCCACGTTGAAAATGAAATGGTCCCTCTTACGGCCCAACTTCACCTTCGATGCTAGATCGTCGTGTCTCAACACCTCTCTAGACACAGTATCTTTTCTGGCGTCCTTGACGAATGCCCTGTTGTTGTCGTCGATGCCAATCACACCAGAGGGGAAGCACTTCTGGAACTTTTTAGCCAAAGGACCCTCAATGGGCTCTTTGATGTCGATGGTGGGCATCAAGCGGTACGATGCCGTGGAAACGGGTGAGAACTTGGCGTGGTCACTTCCAACACCCAAAATGCAATGAACTCTCAAGGAGATCTCCTGGCCTGGTCTCAACTTGGCGAGCAAGATGTCTGGATCACATGGCTGGACAGGATTATTTTTGAAAATGTCGCCTTGACGGCCCTGGGGCTCGAATTTAAGGTCACGGGCGTACACGTTCAGGTTTCTGTAAAGAACGTTGGGGTCCGTGGCATCAGCTGGAGCATTAGGATTGCGTGTGCAGCTGATGTCGAGGGACATGACGATGGTGTTTGTGTCGTTAAAGCGCTCCTTCTCGTCGACAGAGGGGTCGAGCCAGACCAACACATCGGGGTCGACGTCCAATGGGATAAGACCGATTCTGTGTGCGAGCACCTCGTCCTGGATAACTGATGTGTTGTTGAAGACGTAGACTGTTTCGGCAGCAACAGAAGGAACCTCCGAGATCATGATACGACGGAACGCATTGGCAATCGAGGTGTCGATGTTGATCAAGTCGAAGTTAGCGGTTCTGCCTGCGATATATGAGATGTCAATGTCGAACTTGGACTTGAATTTCTCCATGTCCCAGGCATGGTCCTCGTTGGCCAGGTGGCCAGGGAAGTCAGTGGACGTGGTGTTCGTGACACGGTTGTACTCGATGCCCACGATGTTCGACATTGTCTGGTTGGTTGTGATGAGATGGATTTTTTCCGTAGTATGCTCATCTTCTTCGGTGGTGCACGGGTGCGACCATGGAGACCCATTTATCGTCTGGCACCATCATGTCAGAAAGTAGGGATGCCAATAAAGTAAGTAGTCAATATTATTGATTCGAAATTATGCTGCTTTGAATCTTTGGATTTCAGTGTGATTGGAAGTATAAAGTGTGTGCAGCATTGGGTAGTCCGGATAGCCTCTGCTGACTCTGTGGGCAGAGAACCGCTGCAAACAATCATTATAGCGGACCAGAAGTCTAGAATGACACGAAAGGGGCTCTTTCTTACCAAGAAGCTTCCAGTGCAACTTAACTTAACCGGTCCTTGGACTCGTCCTAAGACACTCATTTTAGCAAGACACACTGATGGCTGATCTTGGCTAAAGCCCCGAACAGAATTCGGTATCATAACTCCTTTCCCTCTTCAACATCTCTTCCTCTTCAATCGCATCACACCCCGGTTGCTCCCCTCCTCTCGTTATCGTAAAGTCGTTCATTCGTTATCATCCTGCTCACGCCAAAAGCTGGGAAAGCAGTACGTTGGGACGCGGCTGGGCTTCGTCTCCGCCCAACAGTTGCATCTCCCAGAGCAGCGTGGGTCCGGAATCCACATACAGCAACGTATCCATGATGCCCTGGAAAAGGTCCACGACTATAAGCGACACGTTCCCGTTGTAGCCGTCGGCTTCGATCTCCAGTCTGCACAGCGTGTCCTCTTCACTCATCAGCAACGGCGTGGTCTTCAAGACCTCCGAATCGTCAGTGCAGCACATAAGACTGTAGTAGACTAGCTGGATGAATAGGAGAAGCAAGTCTAGCATAAGGACAGCGAGCTTGCTTTTCGGCAGCTTCTCGCCAATGAACTGAACGGTAAGACCACCGTAGAGGTAGCCGTCCTCCAGCTCGGCAGGTTCAAGGAGAATGTGTTTGATGAAACAAAGGAAGTTGATTGCAAACACACTGATGAGGATGAAACGACGCATTCTCTTTTTAGCAGCATCGCTGACGGTGATGGTAGGCGACGGCGTGGGATACGGATTCAGGATACAGTAATGGAAAAACGCCTTTAGTGCAGCTAGGAACATCAGGATATCTCTTAGGTATATGAGGCCGATAACGACATAGCCTGTGCCGTCCATGAGCTGGCGTAGGTTGCCGAGGAAATGCTTTTTTCGTCTATATAGAACCGAGGCGTTATTGGCAACGGTCTCCTCCACAGAAGGGTACTGCTGGGTCAGAAAGTCCATCTTGGTGGGTAGGAAGGTAGTGGCTCGATTATCAACACTTTTTTGTGCGCGCCTTCTACTGGGACTTTTTCGTCTTGATGCTGCGAATGAGGTCTCCTCCCAAAAGCTTGATCTGATCGAGAATCGACTCCTTGTTGAGACTGACCTCTTCCTTGGACTCGGGCTTCACGTCCATGCCCAAACTCACACGGAACTTTTTCGATGTCGTGGGGAGGAAAACTCCACAGACGACATTGTCCTCGTAGAGTCCCACACACTTTCTTCTGGAGAAAAGCACCACATTGCCGAAGGCCTTGTTGAGCTCGTCCACGAGGGCGGCACCCAAGTCGTAGCGTGACGTGATGTCGTCGGGGAAGGAGGTGTAGTTTCCGCTGAGATTCTTGTAACCTCCCAGCTTCAACACTCCAGACAGCTTGTTGAGGTCGGATTTGCGCAATTGGAGGTGGAAATCGAAGTCGTGGAGTGCTGGTGTGAAAAGAAGGTCGAGGCTGTTTTCAACGCCTTGCTGGTGGACCATCTGCATGGCTGCTCTGGCCAACGCAGTGAGTCTACTGGCAATCGGAAGAGTCACATCACTGGACCATAAGATACCTGAAGGGTCGTCTCTCGATCCCACAAAAAACTGAGTTTTCATGGCCGAGGGGTCGGTCTGCCTGATTTTGTCGAAATTCAGCTGGATCACCTGGTACGCACGGATCGTGAGTTTGTCGCTCAACTTGTTATCGAGCTCGTCTCCATCTGTACGCTTGACAAGATCAAGAATGAGTCCGTCATCTTTCCAGTTCCAGGAGGAAACGAATTCAAGAACCTGAAGGAATCCTTTTTCGACAGAATTAGGCACACTGTGGGGAGCAGGATCCACGAACGGCTTCAACGCTATCAATTCCACAAGCTCGTCGTTCAAGTGACTGAGAAGCACCTGCGAGTCAAGCCACTGTTTGAATAAACGAACGGTGGGGGAGTAGTATGGGAAGTGTGTTGATAGTATGCTGACAGTACGGGAATGCTTGACAGCACCCAAGTACTTCTGGTTGAACTTGAGATATACGTTTTGAACCATAGCCTTTTGAGTGCCAGCGTTAGAAACAGCACGCAAGTACAAGATTTCGTCACGTTCACTCAAAACACGGAATCTGAAACCATAGCCACCTGGCGTGAGCACGTTCATGAGTGTGATGTCTTCCATGTAGGGGATGGAATTGTCCTTGGTGAGGAAACACTTGTATGTGGATTCCTTATTCAACGTTTCGCTCACCTTCAAGAGGAAAGCGGTTTTCGTCTTTTCCAAAGCCTTGATCTCGTCAGGCCACCTGGAGGACGTTTCAAACTGCAACACCACGTCGTTCCAGAAATCAGGATTTGACACTGCGAATGGAACTGGTTGCAAAATGGAGGTATTTCTCAAGGAAGCCAGCGCAGGCAAAATGGATTTCACACTCAACGGGAGCTCTAAGTTGTACATGATCTTGCACAATTCTTCAAAGGACTCCTTCAAAAGCGTGAAGTTGGTGGTACTAGTAACGCCCTGGCCAGCAGCCGAAGCAGAGAGTGGAATAGGAAGCTTGGCGTTGAACTTGCTGATGATGGATGTAAGATGCTGGGTAATGGTGGGGTGGAGGTGCAAGCCTAACACGTAATGGACAATCAGAGAAACCACAGGTTCATTGTTTTCGATCGTCCAGACCACACAGTGTTGGATGGTTCCATCCTTGAATCTTCGGAGCGAGGCCTTGGATCCCCAGAATGAGCGGAAACGGGCTGCTGCTTCTTCGTCTGTGTCATTAGGTCCCTTGGTGACGATTTTGTCGCATTCGTCGGGGTTCAATTCTATGCCGATGGTGTATGAGTCGCTATGCTGGGAGGAAGGCTTCCTCTTGACAAGAGGGAAAAGATCGTTCACCTTGTCGTTGATGATCTCGATGCTTGTGGCTCTCTCGCCCAAAGCGTTCTTCAATATTATGTAGAGCTTGTGCTTGATGTAGTTGTCGAAGGTGATGAAGGTGATTTTCTCCAACGCACCAAAAGAGTCGTGGAGCTCCTCGGGGACTGTGAGCTTGAAAACCAAGTCGTACTTCAACATATCCAGCCCGCTCTTGCGCAAGAAAATCGCATCGAAACGGTCGTACACGACATCGTTCAACAAGTCAAAAGAATGAATGGCATGCTGTTTCAAGGCCTGGTACAGCAGCTTGCTCATTTTCCACAAAACGTTGAGCTTGACGTTTTTGTCGAAGATTGTGGGGGTGTTGAAGCCTGCCTCGGGAACGTACTTGGAGGCGCTGGATTGGTCCAAGTCGCTTGAAAAAGAGAGGTAGCCTGAAGTGAGGTCCATAGTCGCCAAGTATTTAATGGCACCTTTGAACAATTGGTATGAGGAAAAGCCGTGAAGGAGAATCTTATTTCCATTGTTACCGCCACCATTGAGAAGGGCCGCAAGCAAAATGGCAAACTCGAAGTGGCCAAAACCACCTTTATTAAGAGCAGATCCGAAACCCCTCTGCTGGAGCCACAAACGGCCCAAAGTACAGGCGTCTTTGAAGGCCTCGGCGGACTTTTTGTTTCTGTACAAGTATTTTAAATAGTAGTCCTGTGTGGTCATGGAGACAACCAGCGAGTTGTAGTAGGGTGTAGGCGGGAGCTCCTCAGTGTCGCTCTGGACTCTAATACAGTTTTTGTCCGGCAAGAGCTTTTTGGTGTCGAAAACACCAAACGGAAGCGACACAATCAAGTTAATGGTGAACTTCGTTTTGTGGAAGCACAAGTCGTCTTCGTTGTCGGTTTTGATGGACTCCAACTTGAGCACAGGACAAAGAACATCGTCGTTCAAGAAGAAATACGACATCTTGACGGGCAAGTGTTCTTTCTTGGTAAGCGTGATGAGGTGCTCAGCCAAGTAGGCCATATAGAAGCTTCTTTTGTACAACGCCCTGTAGTTCAAGTAGTCCTTGGGTGAAAAGAGCAGTTTTGGCATCACAAGCGAGATATCGATCCCCAGGCCGTGCTGCTGGGCAATGCCAGTTTTCAAGCCAAAAGAGCCCACAAGCGCCACGTTCTCCGGTGGCAAATACGCAAACTTGTAGTTGACCTTGGTGGGTTTGGGATCTGGAAATGGAATCACGAGCTTCTTGGAGTTGATCTTGCTTTCAGCCTCCTCGAGCGTAAGCTGCTCGGTAGCAGGAACCTGGGAAATACAGTGGTGGAGCCTGTGGAGAGCCTTTTCGATCTTGGCCACGTGGCTGTCTTTGATCTTGACCTCGTTCACGAGTTCGTCTATCTGAAGCTTGAAGATATTGGATTTGAAAAGTTCGGCCGTCTCTCTGGCCACCTGGACATCCTGGGCTGTCACCTGAGACTTCTGTTTCTTTTTAGCAGGTCCGTTGTTTTTTTGTTCTTCCTCCTCCTCTTCTTCTTCCTCTGAGTCGTCGAGATCTGCTCCAGATTCCTCGTCTGCGGCAGATTCCTCATCTGAGGGTTCGAAATTTTTGGATTTCGAGCCGTTGGTGGCAACCGGATGGTCACCCGATCCAGCTTCCGTCCGCAGCGCCGCAGCCGCCGACTTCTCGAGCTTTCTTTTGGCCATTTTTGGGTGGAGGTGTTGGTGATTTTCGTGATGAGGCTAGAAAAAATGGGTGGTAGCGGCACGTGCACGATCACGTGATTGACGGATCCAGGCCATTTGGACTGTTTAAGCAGTCAAGAAGGGCTTTTGTGAATTATTCGGGGTCGATGCCGAAACGTTTGTGAATCTTGTGAATAAGGGCTGGTGTATGTTTAGGTAGTCTGTTCAAAAGGTGCGTCAAGATGTAGGATGGACATCGATGAAAAATGTGGATTACTTGAAAGGTGCCATTTTTAAAAAATTGCTGGCAAGTAAAGAATTTTTTGCTAGTTTGATCTTAGGGATATGCCATTTGCTGGATTGCCCTATCTCATATAGAATTGAGAGTGTTGGTAGAAGTGGTCCTGAACGTCTTATGACGCTAGGCCTTTATAATTCACTCCCTATATCGACCAGTTCCACCTCATTAAACAGTGGGTAATTGAAACTTTCGATTGACTAGAAGTGCTTTTTTTTATTGTCGTCGGTTGAATAGTTCCCATCATCTCCCGTTTCTCAGCATTCCATAAACAAAAGGCAATCTCAATGACACAATTAGGGGAATATGTTTATTTTCAGCAACGTCTTCTGGGTTTCCCCTAAACAATGTTCTGACATTGCCTCCTTATACATCCATGTTAGTACATCATGCTGCAGCAGTCTCAGATCTCAACACCTCCACTTACATCACCAAAACACAGATCCAATCGTAATTCTCCTATATACATCCTCATGTCCAAAGCCTTCCCACCATTCTTATCATTAACAAAGTCTTGTCAAGAATGGAATCCCGAAAGAAGATGCCTCTGATGACTTCGTCGTACAGTCCATCAAATCGGGGTCCTACAAACTAAGCTTGTCACGAGCCTTTTGAAAAAATATGAAGGAGTTCAATTTAAAAAGGGTTTGTTTATCCCAAATGGAATTTGGTTTTCAAAGATTTATCATTTCTCGATGGGGAGGCACTTATCTGAATCCATACGATGGCTGCGAAACGAGAAAATCACCTACTACAGAGGAACCAACGAAAAAAGACTAATTCCAATTTTCAGAACTTATATATTCCTTATCCACGAAAGTTTTTTTCAAGATATAGATACTACATATCGACCCACCTGGTAACCAAGTAACACGTCTTTACCCCAGACCTACATACGGTGCTCGTATATCTTCACACCACCATCACCGACGCTTTTCCTACTACTTTCCACCACCAAAGCGTTCCCCTCTTTGAAGATCGTCCAATCATCTTCAAGCACCAACCCCAACACCTGCATCAACCTCCTTGCCCACTGCCTGTTCTCCGGCGCGTCTTCGCTTTCCATCAACCTAGCAGTTGAAACACATCATCAACATGTACTACTCCGAGGAACTCGGCCTTGAAGGCACAGACAAGAGCTTGTGGCGTTTGAGAACTGATGAGCTCGGTAGAGAAACATGGCACTATCTCCTGCCGGAAGAAGCCGAAAAGGAGCCCCAGCTGAAAACGACAAAGTACCTTTTGGATATGGAGTTTCCAGGCCCTGAAGCCGAAAAGGAGATCAAGTTGCCTTTCGAGGCGGCTTCCAAAGGCCTGGAGTTTTTGTCTCACATCCAGGAAGATTGTGGAACTTTCGCTTGTCAATACAAGGGTCCCATGTTCATGACTATTGGGTACGTGGCGGCCTCGTACTTCACCAAAACGCCAATTGGCGACGCCCAGCGCAAAGAGATGATCCGCTACATTGTAAACACTGCCCACCCTGTCGATGGCGGCTGGGGATTGCACAGCGTGGATAAGTCCACCTGTTTTGGTACTTCCATCAACTATGTGTGCTTGCGTATTTTGGGTCTTTCAAAGGATCACCCTGTTTGCGTGAAGGCCAGAAAAACGCTCCATAGCTTGGGCGGCGCTTTGGGTAATCCACACTGGGGAAAAGCCTGGCTTTCCATTCTCTGCTTGTACGAATGGGAAGGTGTAAATCCTGCTCCTCCAGAGTTGTGGTCTTTGCCATACTGGGTGCCTATCCATCCCGGCCGTTGGTGGGTCCACACACGGTCCATCTACTTGCCATTGGCGTACTTGAGTGCCAATCGGTCCAAGTGTGCTTTGGAACCATTGCTTGAAGAAATCAGAGAGGAGATCTACTTGCCCAGGCAATTGCCATATGAGAAGATTGACTTCTCGAAGCACAGAAACACCGTTTGTGGAGTGGACTTGTACTATCCTCATACCAAAATACTCGACACGTTGAACTGGGTCGTGGTGAACTACGAAAAATACGTCAGACCAAACTGGCTTCTCCGCAAGAGCAGCAAGAGAGTATATGAGCTCATCAAGAAGGAGTGCAAGAACACAGACTACTTGTGCATTGCACCTGTCAGTTTCTGTTTCAACATGGTCATCACGTACCTTGAGGAGGGCCCCGATTCCTATGCTTTCCTGCGTTTCTTGGACAGAAAAGACGATGTTCTCTTCCACGGGCCTCAGGGTATGACCGTCATGGGTACCAATGGTGTCCAAACCTGGGACGTGGCTTTCATGTGCCAGTACCTTATTGTGGCTGGCATGTCTCGTTACGAGAAGTACCATGACATGATCCTCAAAGGCTACTGGTTTTTGAGAAGATCTCAATTCACTGAGGAGTGTGAAGAGGGCAGTTTCAGAGACAAGAGAAAGGGTGCCTGGCCGTTCAGTACTAAAACTCAGGGCTACACTGTTTCGGATTGTACTGCTGAAGCGGTAAAGGCCATCATCATGGTTGAAAACGACGACTTTTTGGGCAGCAAAATCCCAGAAGACCAAAAAATCGAAAGACAGAATCTTGAAGATGCCGTGGACAGAATCCTCTTTATCCAGAATACCGGCAGCTTCGAGTTCGGTTCGTTCTCATCATACGAGCATATCAGAGCCACACCAAAGCTTGAGTATATCAGCCCTGCCGAAGTTTTTAATAACATCATGGTCGAGTACCCATACGTGGAGTGTACGGACCTGTCGGTTTTAGGGCTTACTTATTTCAACAAGTACTACCCCGAATACAAGCCTGTGGAGATTAACTTTGCCATAGATAATGCGATCCAGTACATCATCAAGGCTCAGGACAAATACGATGGACTGTGGTACGGACTGTGGGGCGTTTGCTTCACATATGCCACTATGTTTGCTATCGAAGCATTGGAGACTGTTGGACATTCATATGAAAACTCAAAAACCGTTCGTAAAGGTTTGGACTTCCTCATTCGGAAACAGGAAGAGGACGGCGGATGGAGTGAATCCATGAAAGCGAGCGAAACGCATACCTACGTTCCTACAGGCCAGTCATTGGTGGTCCAGACCTCTTGGGCTGTTATTGCCTTGATTCTTGGAGACTACCCAGACAGAAAACCTATTGACAAAGCTATCAAGCTCATCATGGAGAGACAATCTTTAGCAGGCGAATGGAGATTTGAAGGCGTGGAAGGTGTATTCAACCATAGCTGTGCTATCGAGTACCCAACATACAAATTTATGTTCCCAATCAAGGCTCTTGGATTGTATGCCAATAAGTATGGCTATAACAATGAGCCAGTTGCCTGAGGATCCGAGCCGGGCCGACGCACTGATCGCAGAGATAAAAGAACCAGTAAGCAAACGCAGAGATCCGCTACAGGCCACACATATCCACCGCGCCAAATGACATACTCTCGGCATTTGAAATCGGTGGCTATTGGGTCTTTCCAGGCTTTTGCACCGCGGTGTGCAGGTCTATACGCGGGTCTGCACACACGCCGGCATTTGACCTCCAAAGCACCGCCTCGACATCGCCGTCAATGCCGTTATGCTCTCGGAAAGCCTGATTCTAGGGTTTTTGAAACGATAAAAGCTCGAATGTTGATGGTTGACGGCTGTCAAGCCTATTCTCATACGGTCTTGGCGCCTCCTGAATCTCGGATCTGATGCGCGATTTCGGATGTCTGCAATTGTTTTGTCGGATGTGCATGCCATTTCACTTAACCATATGCATCTGCTTGAGGAACCGCAGCCAGTATAAATATCTGCTTACACCCCCCTAGCATATCTTTTTTGCTGTCATCAAAAATGAGCTACTCACCTTTGCCAACCGAAAAGAAGAACTCCTCTAACGAGGCTACTCCCCCATACTCCTCCACCTCCTCCTTCGAGGACTCCGCTCACCCATTCTACGAGCCATCGACCAACAAGCGCTCTAAGGGCTGCAAGACCAAGGCCGTGGCCGCCACTGCCGTCAGTGCTCTTGCTTTGTTTGGTGTCTTCTCCATGGGTAGAATGTACGAGGGCTACTCCTTCCACAACGCCATGGTTGCCATCAAGGAGAACCACCAGGCTCACGGTTTCCACCACGGTCCACCAGGTCCTCACCCTCACGACGACCCTAAGTGGTGGATGAAGTTTCACAAGGGTGAATCCCCTGAGGAGGCCGAGAGAAAGCACAAGGAGTGGTTGGCCAAGCACCCCGAGGAGGCTAAGGCTCAAGGTAAGCCACACAACGACAAGTGGTGGATGAAGTTCCACGAGGGCGAGTCTCCAGAGGAAGCTGAGAGAAAGCATAAAGAGTGGTTGGCCAAGCACCCAGAAGAAGCCAAGGCTCAGGCTGAGAAGGCCAAGGGTAAAGGTAAAGGCAAGGACAACGACTACTGGATGAAGTACCACAAGGGCGAGTCCAAGGAAGAGGCCGAGAAGAAGCACAAGGAGTGGTTGGCCAAGCACCCTAACGGTGCCACCGACAAGGCTGAGGGCAAGTCCGAGGGCAAGGGTAAGGATGACAAATGGTGGATGAAGTTCCACGAGGGTGAGTCTCCAGAGGAAGCTGAGAGAAAGCACAATGAGTGGTTGGCTAAGCACCCAGAGGAGGCCGCTGCCCAGAAGGGTAAGGACGGTAAGAAGGACGACAAGTGGTGGATGAAGTTCCACGAGGGTGAGTCCCCTGAGGAGGCCGAGAAGAAGCACAACGAGTGGTTGGCTAAGCACCCAGAGGAGGCCAACGGCAAGAGAGCTGAGGAGGCTGCCAAGGAGTTGATCTAAGCGATCTGTTGACTTTCGATTCTCCACGTTTTTATATGCCCTGGTGGACACAGAATGACTTGTATGTTGATTTTACCAATGATTTGTATTGAGATGTGTTGTAGATGCCGGAGACAAAGCCAGATACCGAGTACGAGGTGCGTTATTGTTTTGATCTTGGCGTGTCCTAAGGATGATTGACGTAGATTCAGCCAATAGCAGATAAGGGTTTTAATATTGAGAGAAATGGTTTGACTCAGAAGACAAATGAAAATGGTGAATGAAATTTTTCTACCTTAGTGAAACTTTTCTACCTTACTGTGAGCTGATTTTCTTCATAATAAATTAGGTCAGAAATAGTACCTGTCAATAGCTGTGCACTGCCTTAAAAGATTCATTTTCATGTCTATATGCCCTGGATCAATAGCAGTGTTTTTCTATTACATTTTAAATCATAAAAACTCTTCTCGAAGAAGTGTTTCACTCCTCCGTGTAGATATGCTTAAAAAAACCAACTTTGCAGATGGACTATCTAGTTTCATATATTCGACCTGGCAGATGGTTGTATGGATTCTTGATTAAAGCAACAGAAGTGCATTAAGTTCTGAATTGTAAAAGCCTTATTCGATCATAGCATTATTCATGTGCTGCTTGATAAAAAAAAATCCAATCTTCTTGATCATCAATAATCCCAACTTGCCCTCCATTGATTGCTTAGTCTCCAGCCTTCTCTAATTAGGGATATAAGCCTTTTGAAGGATTTCTATGGCCTCCACTTCCGAAACTCTCGTGTGTTTTTCCCTCTTATTGGCCAACACGATATTGTCTCGATCATGTAAAAACTTCGTGAGAGCCACGATGTTGGCTATATGAAAAGGCCATGCTATACCGTAAAACATACAAAGATAAAGTAGCCAAAGTGACTCAAGTTCTACCTTACATTTACTGGTCTCATAGCAAATGAGAACAGTGTGGGCTAAGTGGCCAATGGTGATGATCCAGACAGCTGTTAGTACGCCTTTGCTTCGTCTCAGTGACAGACAAAGAAAGATAGTGTAAGCGATGGGAGTTACCTAGAAGTTAGTTTTGTTGGTGTGTTTGAAACAAGTTACGTACGTCTGCCAAATGGAAAATTGAAAAAGCCTTGAGGAGATCACTTTTTTCTTTGAAGTACACCAGAAAAATGGGGACTCTCATGATGGTGGTGATGATGTTAGAAAAAATGACAAAAAACTCGCTTCCATCGAGAAATCCCTGATTCCATTTCATATCTTGTGGAGCCCTTTCGGAAATGGAGGAATTGTCAATAGCTCTTTCTACGTCAACTGGCCATGGGGCATTAGCGAAATTCATAGTGTAAGGAAAGGAGAATTCGAGGAGAAGCGTCTATTTATATTGAACGAAAACTGCAGTCATGATGTTTATGCTTTGGTGGTTCAATGCGGCATACAACTACATGATTGGAGCTTCCATATTTCACTTATTGGCGGCACAGTATACACCAAGGTCTGATTAAAGAAACAATTATGTCACCGACTTATCAGGCAATTCCAGGGATGTTGTCACGAACCTATGAACGAATGCCTTTTCACATACTCCAAATTTTAGTATCAACCGTTGATAAAATACACGATGTAGGGTACTATCATTATTCATGTAAACGTCCAATTGAACGCCGTTTTACACACTTAACAAAGTAACATCAAGTGTTGGTTAGGAAACTACACTTCTTGCAGTCTTATCATTATCCATGTAAATGTTTAAACTTAAAATCATTATCATAAAACCCTTCGTAGCTGTTCTGGTCATATGGGCTCAAAACTCGAATCCCTATGTTGGAATGTAAGCACGCTGGAGAGACTCGATAATAGCTCCTTCTGGCACCTTCATGGGCTTTCTTACCTTGGTGGTAAGCACCACTTTGTCTCGCTGACGTAGGAAGCGATCAAGAGCAACGATGTTGAAAAGGGAGAGGAACAGATTGACAAAAAATAGTGCCATAGGGAAAACTAGTTGCAATACTACATCATCGCCAGCGCTTGATTTATCAAGTTCATACCACAGGAGAACGAAGTGGCCTAAATTACTAATGGCGATTAATGCTAGTACTCCTAGTAGGCCCCAGCTTCGTCTCGGAGACGTCCAAATAAAGATGAGATATATAAGGGGAGATACCTGATGTTAGTTTTTGATTAGAATCTGAAAGCAAGGTACGTACATCTGCCATATGAAATATCGTGAAGGCCTTGAATAGTCGACTCCTTTTTCCGAAGTTCATCCATAGAAAGGAATATATGAGTACGGAGTTGATAATGGTGAAGACCGTCAAGACGATCTCCCCTCCATAGAGATTCTGTTGCATTTTTGCCAACTTCTGCCGACTTATATCAATATCTGAGGAATCATCGATAGCTTCATCCAAGGCTCTGTGCCCTGTAGTGTCAGTCATAATGTGTGGAAACGAGTATTCAGTCAATAGGAATTGAAGCAGGAGTCGTTAGATGATTCAGTCATACTTAAAGACATTTTGTTCTGAGGGTCTCTACGGCTATTTTTGAATGACATAAGGCAAAGCCATTTTTGGTAAAGGGCAAATTTGCATCTGGCATGCTATTTCCATGGTAATAATCATTATATTGCATGGTTATTGCAGGCTATGCAAGTGATCATGGACAACTTGTGAGGACGGAGATCAATTTTTTTATTTTTTTTCTTTTTCTCTATGAGGCTTTCTTCAAATTTGAGAATTTATTTCATCGAGAAAGTCTACAAAAATAATGGGCAAAGAACAGACAAACTTGCATTTCATATAGGCTCACTTCTCCAATGGCCGCGACCCCACTTATGTGCACCGCACGACTGCTTTAATTTTTCTCACCAACATCAAATCGATCTTAACAAACCACCATGGGCTTCTTTTCTGCTGCCAAAACAGCGTTCGCCCCCGTGGGGCTTCTTCTAAATCAGCAGCGTGGCATAGCCAAGTTGGGTTTTTTGGCTCCGTTCGAAGGAGCCACCAAGAGCATCAAAAGAGTCGGAAGAGGTCAGGCCTCTGGTTTGGGTAAAACTTCCGGAAGGGGTCAGAAAGGTCAGAAAGCTCGTGGAAAGGTTCCTCGTTGGTTTGAAGGTGGCCAGACGCCGTACTTCAAGAGATTCCCCATCGTTGGTTTCAAGAGACCCCACAAGAGAGTGTACAACGACTTGAACTTGGAAAAAGTGCAGCATTTCTGGGAGAAGGGCCGTATTCCTTTGAAGGAGGGCGACGTGCTAGACTACAAAGTCATGCGGGAGTGTGGCCTCGTCACGGGTACCGTCAAGGACGGCGTGAAGCTTTTGGGTAACGGTAAGGAAACATACAATGTGCCTTTGAACATTGAGGCTACCAGAGCTTCTACCGGTGCCATCAATGCCGTGGAGAGAACGGGGCACACCTACACTTCCGTGTATCGCACCAAGCTTGGTTTGCAAGCGTTCTTGAACCCAGACAGATTCCTTTTAAGGAAGGGCTATGTTCCTCTTCAAGCCAGACCTATGCACAAGAGAGACATTGCGTACTACCTGAGCGAAGAGAGACGTGGTTACTTGCTCAAGGACAGACTGATCTTTTTGGACCAGGTGGAGGCCGTGCAGAGCAAGATGGCCAACAAAACCAAGAGAATCCAGAGAAAGACCGAGTTGGAGCGCCAGTTGGACAGCGCCTCGTCCAAGGCCCACAACGACTTTGCCCAGTCCCGTGTGGTGGACTTGGCTAGCCTTTGAATGTAAATAGATGGCGCAAATGCATGGATGTAGATAGGGTATTTGTAGTTGTGGCTGGTGAGACTATGGAAGGCTATGTGTACATGTTTGGGAATTCAAACAAAAACAGTTGCTGATATGCTTTGGAATGTACCTGAATGCAATGGTTGGAGTCGCTTACCTGATGTTCATTTGGGTAGATCCAAAATGACGGCTTTACTGGGGCTTATAGGTGGATGAAGTAGCTTAAGGTGGATAAGGTTTTGAAGGGAATTATCGACTATGTGTTCATGTTGCAATTGGATTCCAGCATTTCATATAGTGGAAGCTCAACGCCAAGAATGTCATTCAGACCCTGCCACGGATCACTCCACATCGGCATAGGCCTGGAGCAACCGTTCCACAACATCCTGAACATCACTCAACCTCACCTCCTGGTTCACAGCTCCATTGAATCCATAATTATACTTTCTTAGCGCAAAAATCGCCAGTTTTCTTGTCATCTGGTACAACTCCCTCACGGCGATTCTGTCTTTCGAACCCAGCGGGTTCAAACCACGAAGCCGTAGGCCGGAAAGCGTGATCTTGTTCACAGCAGCAGAAATCTGATCGCCACTAAGTGGGGCCACTGAAAGCGGGGTGGCACTAGGATTGCGTGGAGCAACATACTGGTTTCTTTTGGACGACTTGTTTTCTAGCACTCTATCAAAAATTGTAGTATCTGAACGCGTCGGAAGCGCCAGGTAGAAAATGTCGTCTTCACTTGAAGCCTCAAACGCCTGTGCCGCCAGGGCAAGTCTATCCAAAGCAGAAAAGTCTATGCAGAAGCACCGAACGCTGTTTTCGTGGATGAAGAAGACCACGTATACTCCGTCGGTGGATTTCGAAAGAAGCCCAATGTAGGGCCGTTCTATGCTGTCCAACGCGAGGTTCTTAAAGTATGCAGCGGTTTCGTCGTTGGTGGAGTAAACAGGATACGGACCCAGAGAAACAAGAAACCACGGGATCTTGTCCGAGTTGACCAAGTTCACGTGCTCTAGCGGCCCTCGTAGGCTTAGCTTCCCATTGTGGCTGATCTCGATGCCCGGTAGCGTCTTGTCTCCGTGTGAAAGCAGTATCAAAGAGACCATTGGATGGGGCGTTCTAGTCTAGGGGAAGGAGCGGGAAGTTCTCTGGATTTTGGATGCTGGGGAATCTCGAGTATTTATAGTGGGAGAAGCGGGGAACACGGGCGACTGTGCTGCATGGACGCGTTGGATTGGGTGTGCAAAGAAAGTAGTAGTTGAGTGTTGATGTTTCGCAGCTATACAAGCAGTACCAGATGATGCAGTTTAGATGAAGAAATTCTTTTGAGCATTTTTTGAAATCTTAAGATTTTGAAGACTATTTTTTCTTTTGAGTATTTGATGAGCATAGGAAGGCAGGGCTATGGTTTGGTTGATTGTGAAGCCCGTCAAAGACTTATTCATGGGTGATAGGTACCATGTGATGTTTGTTTCAAATGATACGCCATAGTTCTCCAAAATACCAGCTTATTTGTTTGCAGGAGCAATACAAACACTCTTCCGTTGTTGATCTTGCTGCAGTTAGAGTGCCTTGAGGAATCTATACAGATAGAAGCGTTCACAGTGTATATAGAAGCGTTCACAATGGCTGCAAATTCATACATCTTAACTACATAATGACAGAAAGCAGTGCCATGGCCATGAACATAACATTTGAATGTTCCCTCTAAAACTCTCGGCCAATCATATGTTCACTGCGTCTCTTTCATTAACTCCATGCTAGATGTGTTGGTGAAAGAAAGGTAGAACCCGGATACATTAGTGAAATCACTCCCTTAGGTAGATTTACTAATCACTTCCTCGTCTTCTCCAATTCAATGGGTTGGTGATAATTAACCAGCATCCTCGAGAAACACCACTTTCTCCATGGCGTCACTTGTTCAAACACTAGCCACATCGCCACAAAACACCGTATCGATGTTGTGGCGGTGCATCAGTCCTTTCGATTGCCATATTTCTACTTTTCATTCAACTCGTCAGAACAAACAAAACAGTCTAAGAAAAAAATAGCCCCTCTGCTATCAGTGGCCTCAAATCTCAAACCAATCAGATTTACCGTACTAGTCACATTCGCCACAGACCGCCACAAACAGCCAATACCATCTTACAAACATCATCCAAAGCCAAATGACACCTCAAAATCGCCGTTTCGCCAGAACCGAAAAAGCCCCCTTGTGGCTAGTGACATGTAGGTCGACAGCGATAGCCGAGATCCCGGCACCAAAAACGGCAATGACCGTTCAGATCGAATTTTTAGTTTCTATCAAAAAACTACATCAAAAAAACTACAAAAATCATAATTTCCAAATTCCCTCGAAACTCTCTTTTCTTCCACCCATCTCACTTCCTCACAGCAAGTCAAGCAGACAGGCAAAAAAACAGCACCATCACCCAAATCACCGCCACCACTGCCCGCTACACCAAAAAAACCCAAAACTGCAAAAACACCCAAAACTACAAATCCCCGCTTTCCTCCAACTATAAATACAGCCCGTCCGCCCACCTTGCCAGAATCAGTTGATGTGGCTCCTGCATTGCCTGAACGGTGCGATGAATCAAAAACCTCATCTACTACATCACCATGATGAACGTATCGCCCAAGGTGTACTCGGTGGCTCGAGTATACGCCGATGTGAACAAGCATAAGTCTAGAGACTACTGGGACTATGAATCCCACACGATCGAGTGGGGAAACATCAAGAACTACGAGATTGTGTCCAAGATCGGAAGGGGCAAGTACTCGGAGGTGTTCGAGGGTGTCAACGTGATCAACGACGAGCCCTGTGTGATCAAGGTGTTGAAGCCTGTGAAAATGAAGAAAATCTATCGAGAGGTGAAGATCTTGAAGAACTTGACCGGAGGCCCTAATGTGGTGGGGCTCTTGGACATTGTCAGAGACCAGAACTCCAAGATCCCTGCCTTGGTTTTCGAGTCCGTCAACAACGTCGATTTCCGCATCTTGTACAACAAGTTCAGCATCGCCGACATCCAGTACTACTTTCTGCAGCTCCTCATTGCCTTGGACTACTCGCATTCCATGGGCATCATCCACCGAGACGTCAAGCCGCAAAACATCATGATCGACCCGCAAACAAAGACCTTGAGGCTTATTGACTGGGGTCTTGCGGAGTTCTACCACGCCGGCGTCGACTACAACGTCAGAGTCGCCTCCAGGTACCACAAGGGCCCAGAGTTGCTCATCAACCTCCAGCAGTACGACTACTCCTTGGATCTCTGGTCCGTGGGGTGCATGCTTGCGGCCATCATATTCAAGAAGGAGCCATTTTTCCGTGGAGACTCCAACAACGACCAGTTGGTGCAGATTGCCAAGGTGTTGGGCACGAAACCGCTCATGGCGTATGTGAACAAGTACGGCATCAAGTTGAGCCCCGAGTACGACGGCATTTTGGGCAACTACCCACGCAAGCCGTGGTCCGCCTTTGTCAACAGGGATAACCAGCACTTGGTGCTGAACGAGGTGGTGGACTTGATCGACAAGTTGTTGACCTACGACCACCAGTTGCGCCCTACTGCCAAGGAGACGCTTGCCCATCCATTTTTTTCGATTCAGGCCTAGGTCTGTTGTGGCCACAGGCCATGGCCGAAATCGGCCATGTGACGGCTCTGCTGCTGTTTGGCAGTGGGGTCCCTTTCATCATCTAGCAAGCGTTCTTTCTGCTAGAGCATATGAGCATCCGCTTTGCGGCATTGGGTCACGATCTTAGAAAGTTACGATATGATAAAGCGGCGGGCTACAGATACAAGCGCCCGGGTATAGCAGCTTTATAGTTAATGCCCTAATGAAGAGAGTGTAGCGATGGGGCGTGGTTGGTGGAATACCAGAATTTGTTGAGTTTTGAGGTATGGGAGTTGATCATCATATGGGGACTGAGCTTGCCTTGGAGTCTGGTTCAGAAATGTGGAATAATATCAGTTGTGCAGTTGAAAATACACTCACCGAAGCTTCACCATCGTTCAATGGTCACTGATTCTTTTGATCTTTTACCAGCATAATTCCCTTAACTTCTTGAATGCTATACAACCTACCCAGTTAATCTACCCCATTCATCTACGTCAATAATCTTCTTTGGGATCCACAGTACAATATTCCTCACCGATCATGTCTTTCCCGACGTGCCTTTTGGGAAATCAAATACCGCTTTTGGGAACGAAGGATCCAGCCAGTCGAACAATGGGTTGACGCTCGTGAAGGCTGATCAACAGAACGTTTTGGGAAATGCTGATTGTTCTCGTTTCGTGTCGCGTTGATCCATACAATAATAAGGAACGAGGGAGAGCAGAAATAGAGAATATAGTAATTCAGCCAGTAGAGCAAATAAGTAGGTAATGAGTATTTGTAAATGCTAAATGTGAGGTTTGGAGAAACGTTGATGCGGTAGATTGGAACACAAAAACAGATCGGAGGTGGCTTCGGCTGTGCCTGGATATGTAGACTGATTTGCGCTCAAAACGCCCATATGATTCACGGATTCCCGGTGATATAGACTCCTTCTTCATTACATTCACTGGCATTGTGACTGAAAATGTAGAAATTGAGGCAGCATCGCCAGCTATTTGTTCATAATTGCATCGCGATGGTTGTGGCGGTGCAGCTGCGGGCCCGTTTCGTGTTCTCCGTTCCATTGTATTCGAAAATTTGGGTCGCCAAGTTACAAGACAGAGCTTCAAGCTGCTACTTCAGGTCCTCGATCTCATTCATTCACAATAGAAGAGAGCTTCTCGGCTAGAGTCTGGACCCTGGCCAGCCTGCTTGTGCGTCAAGTCTCCAGAAGGACACCACGGCCCCCACGCTTCTGAATTTCCCAAACTTCAAAAGTCACAACCACTAGAATCTCTTAGTTCTGTATCCTTAAAGTCAGTGCCACCGGAACCCCCGGAAGCGACATCTTTGACGTTTGCAGCCAGTGGCAGTTCCGAGGGCTGCGCGTTTTAGCGCGTGCGTAGTAACGCGGGTGGTATGCGAGCCAGCACTGTTTCGGCCCAATCTGGCACGTTTTTGAGACGTCGCAGACGCATCTGGTGCGGCCCAGCTCTCTCAAAAATGTCTCTCAACGAGGCAGTACAGAAAGGCTAATTACCAACTCCGTGTTTCTTTCCAGGTTATTCTATCTTGCTAGCTGCCCGGCCACTGCCGAAGGCCCCTTTCCATCACCTTCGTTTATCCATTTCAAAAAGCACCTCCCCGCATGTCCTGGATTCACAGCCAACATAGAGCAATGGCTCGATGGGTTGGATCCAAGGTCGGAAAACCCATCGAGGATCTTACCACAGCACTTAATGACGGCCTTGTTCTAGCCAAACTCGTCAACGTCATAGCCGAAGAAAGCGGCACCTCCGAATACGTCCTCCAGCCCATATACCAGAAACCAACCCTACATCTCCAGAAAGTGGAAAACATCGACGATGTGCTCAAGTTCTGCCGGCTCATTCTCCAGATCAATACGTGCTCTGTCAGTGCCGAAAATGTCGTGGAAGGAGACCTCAAACTCATCCTTGGGCTCATATGGACCTTCTTTGTGTATTCTACCCTGACGCTGATATCCATAGCCAACGAGGGCAACTCTATTCACGAAATCAAGCAGATTCTACTACGGTGGATCAACTCGGTCGGACGGTCCCGGGCGCTTCCGGAAATCGGCAATTTCTCCAAAGACTGGTCGCTTCAAACCAGCCTGAGACCTGATCTTGTGTTTGCAGCCATTTGTGACTATTATGTTCCTGACGCTCTTTTACATTTCAACGATCTCAAAAATGGCAAACCCGTGGCCAACTTGGACTTGGTTTTCGCCCAGGCGGATCTGAAACTCCAGATTCCCCAGCTCTTGGTTCCTGAAGACTTCAATGTACTTGTGCCTGACGAAAAGAGCATCATCCTATATCTTCTCCAGTGGTACACGTTCTTCGAGCTAACGCCGGATATTCCAGATTCGCCGGTCATTCCCCAGGAAAATACCAACGTTCTAGCGCAGTTTGTGCGTCTTTGTTTGGAAGCTCTGAAAGCAAAAAACTCATACGAGTCTAAGGCACTACGGCTTGTGGAGCAGGTGAACTCCAATATCATGAAACTCAGCAACCTAAACGAAGAGCTCTGTCTGACAATTGTGCCTGCCAACCTAGGGCACCAGCTTGATGAGTTTTGTGGAGATCTCAGGGGGTCGAAAATCGTGGACCAGCTTTCTTCCAGAACCCAATACCCGCATATTTCCATGTTTGGCCAGTTTTTCGTGGATCTCTTGACCGCCTACGAGCATTTTTCCCTTCAGCTCAAACCAACCTACTTGCATCACGATTTTCCAGAATTGCAGGCTCTTCTCAAGGCCGTTTCTGTGAGTCTCTCCAGAACGGGCATTCCTTCTTTTCAGCCCGAAAAAAATGTCGCCTTGTCCACGATAGCCACCCGTTTGGAGTGCCTCAACGAGTTGGACAAGATTGTTGGTGAAAAAATGCTTGAAGTGTTGAGCCAGCTTTGTGGTTCCAAAATTGCCAATGTCGATGGCCTTCTAGCGACCATTGAAGCCCATTTAAAAGCACACAGCAGGGAGCCCATTCCTCCAGTTTTGAAGCAGTATGTGGACGATTTGAGCCAGGTGATGGAGCTCAAACAGCATCTTGACCGTTTCAACGGCGTTCTACGTCCGAAAAGAAGTGCTCAAGGTTTGCAAATTCTTGTGGATTCTCTTGAGACCATCGATGTTCCAGAAACTCCAGAAACGCCAACCACAGAACAAACCATGGCTTTCCAGAAATTCAAAGATATCGTTGCTCTGCAGCACAACCAGCAGAACCTCACCCACTCGGACCTCACACGGTTCATGGACAACCTAGCCGATCTTCCCAAAAACGACAAAAAAGAGTTTGTTCTCTTGGTGCCGTCCAGACGGATGCTCAATCGAAGCGAAAGCGACGAATTCTCCACCTACGGTCTGGATGAAAACACCTCTGTCAACGAGGAAGAGCTGGCTCTTTTTGACAGGGTCCAGCAGACGGTGGAGCAGAAGCTTGCAGGAACGTACAACAAGCTTTACAATTTGGCAGAGTTTGTGGAGCGTCTCGAGGGCGGTTTTTCCGTATGACAGCATGAATGTATGATTACGTATGAGCAGGTAGGCATTCTGGGGTAGGCGGGCGAATTTGAAACTCAATTGAGCTACAAAAGGAGAATTAATGAGCTTCAGAACGTAGTTGAACTGACATAGAGGTTCGATTGAGCTACAAAAGAAGAAAATTTAAGGGACTTCAGAAAGTAGTACAACTGACATAGGTGACCTCTGGTGATTATGCTGACTTCTACCACATCTAGGTAGGTTCTCTCCCATAGCAGAGAAACCAAATATCAAAACGATGGGGATTTAAACTCATTGGAACTGTGAAAAGGAAATCTGGCTCCTCAATTACTCGTACCGCTTTTTGCAACCCTTCAATGTCTCATCTCGAACCATTGCACTCACATCCGTATACATTGAAATCCAGCGGATCCACGCCAACAACACAGAATAACGTATTTGACAAAATAAAGAGATTCAAAAACTCTCGATGCATGATTTTTCAAGGAATCTCCATCCTTGTACCCTTGGCTGATGGACCCATCTCAGCGCGAAAACATACATTATCATACCACCATCACCTACTCCATGGAAGAACCACTCACGTCGAACGTCCGCCCTGCCACAGATGCCGTACTCACAATCCGCATAATCAAGTCTTTTCCATACCGCAATGTGAAAAATCACATTTTGCGTTCCGTGGATCTCAAGGCCACCACTCCTTCTCAGCTTCTAGACCAGGTGGTGGACATTGTGAATACCACCGGTGCCATGAGGCCTTACAGAAACGTGGTTTACGATACGGTCAAGGTGTACACACATGCCCACAAGACCAAGTCGATGAACTTGGTTATCAACTTTGATGAAGATGAGAGGGATGTTTTGTTTTGCAAGGGAGAGAAGAAGGTGGAGAAGACGGAGCTGCTCTGGGACTTGGGCGTGGAGAACGAGACGGAGTTGAGTGTTTTCAATTGGGAGGCGTACGAGGAGTTCAAGAGAAATCCTGAGGAGAAGTGGTAAAGAAACCAGCGAGTTATACGAGCCAGCGAGGCAGCTCTGCTGCTACGAGCTGGCGAGCTGTGGAGATGAAGACTTTTGTGGGCCTGAGGCAGCTACCATCAGCCGGCGAAAAGCTGAATTTCTAATGGGCTGCTATACACCTGAAAAGCTTATCTTCAATCGTGAGTTACACTTATTGGAGCTTGATCCTTTGGTTTAAAAAGCGCTAGCTTCTGGAGTTGAACGCATCGAACACGGTTTTACTCTTTCAGAAACAGCATCTCTCATTGACATAAGTAGCAGAAGAAGCTTTCAAACTGAATTTGGATAGTGTAGGCCCTTCATCGACAATTCCATCCTCTCTGACCCACTGTTCTTTCAAAATAACGCCACCAAATCTCTCTTACTAGTTTAACAAGTACAACGACCCAGATCGATCACTTCAAGAAATACTCTTCATGAAAAATTGGGGGTATCACCGTTTGCAGCCCACATATGTGTTCTGTATATGAAGCCGCTTTACGAGACCGGGAATCACTTCTATGCTGCTCAGTGCATAAGCGAGAAGCACGCTGCCGTTAAAAGGGCCGTCAAGTCTGGGATGGGAATTGTGTCATTTTGCTCGATTGATGCTTTGAAGCGAATTGCAAGCTTAAGTTTTACGACGCGATACGAATCGATGGCTGAAAACACGATCCAGCGAATGCACAACGATTGCACTATACCAGGGCAAAATCTGCAATTGACTTGGAGTTTTTGAATACCAGTTTCTCCAATATAACAGTTCAAATGGAGTGGTCATGTATACAATTCTTCCTGTCCATTCCTCCCAAATGAAGAAGCCCTCAAAAAGTTATCAGTGGCCTTATGGCCAATACTAGTAAGACCCCTGCTTCAATGGTTTGGTTTCCGACGAAAGAGAATTAAAACTAATAAAATTACAGCGTACAGAAAGTCATTTCTTCGTTTCGTCTGACACATCTATCTTGCACCCCACACTTTTCACTTACTAGACACACCACCAGATCAAGCGCAGACAGCACCGCCAAACAGAGCATCAAAAATAATCAAAACCCACAAACCCACCTCAAATTCCATAAAACCACCTCAAATTCCAAAGATTCATTCTTTTAAGGCCCAGAATCTAGAAAATCCACCCCACCTACATCTTCGCCATCACCCCACCCGTGCACCCACGATAAGCTCCAACTCAGCACTACCATCTTTTCCATGAATCTCCGCCTAATTTTAGCATTGGCCTCGTGTCTCCTCCCAGCTCTTTCCAGCACCATATGTGTGGAAAACGACTGTTACCCGGAGATCTTTGAGGCCACCCACGAGTGGCAAATTGTCAAGGAAGGTCAGCACATTCCAGCTGGTCTCCATGTCAGGATGAACTTGGAGCTGAACCAGAGAGAGGCTAAATTGCTTGATGGCAACGAAGACGAAAACGCCGCTTTGGCTGTTGTGGAAAACGAAGAGGAACAGGAGGCGTTGAAGGACCAGATCAAAGAGGCCTTGGATAGATACAAGAGCCAGAAGAAGGAGTATAAAAGGAGCACTGTTGACGAGGGAGAACTTAGCGATTTTGGCTCTGCCGTCAAGGAAATCGTGTCTTTCAAGTCGGATTTGGGCAGAGCAGAGCGGGCTCTTGAAACCCTTGCTGAATTGGCCCACGATAGAGAGTTTGGTGTTAGACTTACGCAGAATTCTGAAGCTTTCGAGAAGATCCATCAGATTGCGCTTGAGGTGGATGATTCCCATATCAAAGAGCGCTGCTACAGCGTTTTGGCTGCCTCGTTGAGAAACAACCCCGAAGCTGTAGGCAACGTTTTGCAAAACCAGCCCTCGCTTTTTGTGGATACGCTTTTCGGGGTCATTCGTGACAGCGACACCAGCGACGTGCTTCAGAAGCGTATTTTGGGTGTTTTCCAAGGCCTCGCCTCCAATGCCAACTTTGCCCAGCAGAGATTGGGCGATTTGATCTCGGTATTTCCCGATTTGGGCCAGCAGGCCAAGGACAGAGTTGCTGTGATCCTCGAGGACCTTCAATTGGCTGAAGCAGCGGAAAAGGCAGACGAAACGGTTTCGAACTATATCCAAAAGACTCTTTCTGACGCCAAGGCCGTTTCTGAGTCGCAGTTCAAGCTGTACTTCAGAACGCTTGCTGCCCTTCATGAGAAGCGTGTACTACAGCCATCAAAGCAGTTCCTTGCCTGGCTTGCGGAGGAGGTTGAGAAGAGAAAGAGCGGGAGCGATGCCGATTCAGCTTTTAACAAGTTCATGGTCGAGGCTCGCCATACGATATTTGGCAATCCAAACGCCGCCCGGAAGGCCGATGAGCTTTAGAGACGGGTAAATTTATAGAAAATAATACAAGAGACGGTTTGGGGAGCTAAAAAGTACAGGTTCAGCTATTTAGAGGTTGAGGGAATCTACTATTTGGTCGTAGGACAAGAGAATATTGGATAACTTTTTTTTCTTTCTGCTAAATTCATGAGTTTTATGAAAATCCAATGGTAAAACGACGATGTACCTTTGATATCCTCAGGTTGTGATTTTAGTGTTACGTTGTTTCCGTTTACTGGGGTAGTCGCATATTACGGTATAAATTTGCAACCATGCATGTTTTTTGGAAAATCAAAATTACAAGTCAAAAAAAAAAAAATCGTTCAAACCAGGTAAAGCCACCAAATCATCCCATTCAAACCCTTTCAAAGTGTTCATCTAAAGCCTATCTCATTCACCTCCCTTCCATCTACACTCAAATGCTATACTCCATCAACCACACTCCATCAACCACACTCCTTCAACCACACTCCTTCAACCACACTCCTTCAACCACACTCCTTCAACCACACTCCACCACAATCTACACTGCCTAACCCAACTGCCCCCTTCTATCCTACATCAGCCCTCCAGGCCCATCTCTCTTTCATGTGTATTCCATTATAGTACAGCTGTATGCTTAGTCGAACAAACCGAAGCCCATGTCGTCGTCAGACTCCTCGGCAGCAGCCTCCTCCTCCTTCTCGGCAGCAGCCTCAGGAGCAGCAGCACCACCGGCAGCGGCGGCACCACCGGCAGCAGCACCAGTTGGAACAGAAGACAACTTCTCGGTACCCTCGGCAATCAACTCCTCGGCGTTCTTGCCCTCAACCTCGGCCAAGAGCTTCTCGACCTTGTCGTCCTCGACCTCGATGGACACGGACTCCAAGACCTTCTTGATGTCAGCAGCAGCTGGGGCGGTGTTACCGGCGTTGACCAACAATAAGTAAGCAGCTAAGTATTTCACTGATGGTTAGTATGGGGTTGGTTTGGAGTTTGGGAGCGGTGATTTGAGGCTTTTAAGGCTTTTAAGACTTTGGATGCTAACACAACTTTCGTTTTAGTGGTTTGGTTGGTCTCGTTGGGTCGATTCATGGATGCATCTTCTTGAACGAATCTGGATACATCATAATGGACATAAAATTGTAATTGGAGATTTTCTGAATATGGACGTTTGGGCACGTTTGGCACTAGACCCTCATTTATCACACGGCTCCCTGAAACTCGATTTGGACATACTTTCTGTTGTATAGTGTAGGAGGAGGTTTTTCAGATTGACTTTTTTCGCCAAAGGTGGAGGATTTTTCGACGCTTGTGTGCAGGTTGGTGAAGCTTTTCGCAGTCACACTGGTCACGTGACAACACTGGGACATGGCAGTTCTAGCTTTTGCCAGTTGCAAGAGGGGTGGAGCAGGTAGAGGCAAGTCGCTGAATATATGATAGAGGTTGGGTTTTGTTGGATAAGCTGGGACTCATGTGGTGATTGACTACAGGTCGTGGTATATGCAGTACACTAGTTTTTGGCTGCAAAATCAAAGTTTAGTAGCACTCCATGGGGGTATACGAGAGAAAATAAAAGATTGTGTCGGATTGTGTCGTATACAATTCGTTAATTGATTACAGCGCTTGAATTTCATATTACTTCAGTTGTTCGTATGATGGAGCTGGTAACAATCACAGCTCGATTCAATGTGTGAACCAGCTCATTCAACTAAAGAAGCATTCATTGCCGATTCATACTGGGAAATCGAATCGCTTCATGAAGCTCATAAATTTGAAATTGTCGTGCTCGTTGATCGTATGCGAACATGAACTCTGTACCTGTTGAGTGGTAAATGTTTTGCAAATTCATCAGTAACGAGTGATTCTGTTTGAAAAACGGACTTAGAATTAGGGCCCCCTGTGTCACATCCTTACGTTATCTATGACTCAAGCAAGCCAAAGTTACCGTTATGGTACCACATGCAGACAGTTCGACTTCGGGTCAAATCTTGTGTTGATATCTACCTTCTGCCAATGGTTTGATGGTTTGCATTGGTTGAAAACCTATAACTCTCCTTATTGACTTATTTGCTGGGAAGTAGAGGCACAAGCTCAACAAGGAAAACATTGGGTGCCTTGGTGGCTTTCAAGTGTCGTTGACACATTTCCATACACGAGATTAAGCGTACTCTCAAAGCTTCGGAACTAAATCTACCATCAGGTGTCGATCGATCATGATTACATAGCGACAAATATCCTGGTTGTAAAATTCAGGTACAGAGCTTACAGTTTAAGCTCCGTCGAACTGATCTGTAAATTCCCGGCGCTACAGAACAACGGCTTATGGTGCCCTACAAGCGTCATTACCAGGGGCAGTAACGGAAAAAAGTGCAGATTCTTCTCATTGAGCCAACTCAGTTATCAGAATCTTCTCATCTGTGCAATTGTAGAATACTGATTACCACAGGTTGAGCTTTCTGCAGCTCATGCAAGTCCAGAGAATGGCAAAACCAAAGAGTCCAACTTTTCTAAAATTGGAGCGCAATGGATCGGCACGGCAGCTTTATGGCATTCAATCTAGCTTATCTTTCCGTTTGTCTCGCGTTTAAGCACCGTACATGCCAAGCAACCTTGTCTCAGTCGGCTCGGCTGTAGTTGGTATTTTAAGTGACAGGTGGCTCTCTGTAATTGCTTTAGTCTAGCTTCAAAGGTATTGAGAGTTTTCTATTAAGCGGATGGATGCATTCATATTGCATTGAAAATTGTTCCTCAATATATAGAACATTGTTGCCTACTGATAACATAGCCCAACCAGCTTTGTAGATACAAACCGGACTTGTAAACGTGGCAAAATGCACCGAATCAGTCATTTTGTGGCTTGTGGGCTAAAACGCAATTGGCTGCAAGCTTATCAGAAAAATGCCTATCATTCGCACGGCTCTAGGTACTCCTCATACTGTAACACCCCGGTCACGCCCAATCGGACCCTGAAATTACATCATGGTATTTTGAATGGCAAAATTTCCATGGAAGCTGTATTTTGCTGCTTGCTACGTGCCAACAAGTTGGGTTGACACGTTTGACACCTTGCATAATCTGAGCTCGTCTACAATGCAAGCCACAGAAGATATGCATGTTCAAAACACCTTGCGAATATATATAGCCAGCTGCCCGGGCGCTCAATTTTTTTTAAACTTAATCAAACAACATGGAATTCTTTCTCGGTACTACTAAAGACGGCAAATTCAATGGCTTCGGCATCCGCTTCTTTGACAGCGTTATCCTCGGCGCCAGTTCAGAGGTGAAGTCTCAAAAGAAGACCTTGTAATTGAGTGTTTAGGAATATAAGTAAATAAAAAAAAGTGTAGGATTTTGTCCAGAAGAGTACTCCATCCACCGTGGGTATCAAAAACTTGGGTTTACAGAATCAAGGAGGCTGCTTAGGATGGTGCCGCATGAGCCGCACAGTATGTCACAAATGCGGTTTTCAACCGCCACACTAAGAAGCTCCAGAGACTGGGAATTTTACTGCAGCACGTTGTGGAAAGGCATGGCCCACAAATCTTTAAAAGCGTTTATTCAAATACATATTTCTGACAACTCAAAATGAGCTAGAGGCAGCAACTCCAAACATAAAAAAACCACCGGCGACAGCCAAAACCCCCGCTGTTCCAACCCACATCTTGAGTTCAGAAACCAACTCTTTCGTGGTTGGCGCCCTACGTTGGGGCTTTTCCAAAAACTCCTGCTTCTCATCATCTGTAGCATATGAAGCTTTTTGAGAGACTTCTTCATTCTCAGCGGACTCTTCGTCAGTGGGTTTCTTTCTGAATTCATCTTCGCAAGCCCTCACCAAGAAAATACCGCCAAAAATGACCAAGGCAACGCCAAAGAAGATAAACGTTGATTTCGAGAGACCGGTGTGTTCAACTTCTATGGATTCAGCAGCACAGAGCTGTGCCATCAAAAGGGGAACAAGGAAAGCTTGACCATGCATTGCTGAAATATGTTTGAATGCGTTTTGAGAGCTGCGGATCCTACTTCTTTATAGAAAAGTACAGGCCACCCTCACAACGTTGGGCGCTTATTTATAAGTCTCTATTTTGACAGGTCAATGTTGACTAACAGTAAACATGTATAACTACTCACCTTACATCTAGTCATCCTTGAATCTGATGCTGAGCTCGATCCACTGTTTGAGCTGCTCGGGACTGTCTCCTAGCACTCTACCAAACTCGATTCCGTATCTGAAAAACACAAAAGTCGGGAATGCCTTGATGTGGGGGGTCTGTTTCTTGAAAATGTCATTTTTCTCCTTGTTCATTGGACGTTTGGTTTTGTAGAAGTCAAGCTCATACTCGTCAGAGTACTTTTCGTAGAAAGGAGCCACATTATCACAAGGTCCGCAGCCAATACCCAGAAAGAAGACAAAAAGCGGCTTCTCCTCCAGCTTTTTAAGAATATCCTCGAATTCCTCGTATGTGTCGAAAGACGCCACAACCATGATTTAAATAAAATTATGGGTATCGAAAAAGTAGACGCATATCGTGTGCTTTATATGTCGCCTTAAAGTGACGCTTGAAGGTGCCGCACGTATTCTTTCTGTTTGGCTACAGGTTTTGCGTCAATTTATAGCTCCTGATAATGACTTTTGCTTCCCTCCTATTTTTGGTGAATCTGATTTTGAACAATTTCATGTATCATCTCAAATAACTAACAAAGTTGCCAATGAACCAGCGCTGTAATGCACCTTGCTAAAGCTAAAAATCTTCATCTCTATTCAGACGTGACAGCCTTCAACTCCCTAGTCTCTTCCTTCTAGTTTTTGATTTCGCTATCCTTTTCAGGAATAAGACTCCCCACTTTCTCCTTAGGATCATAGCCAATAACTTGCAATCTCTCAACCAAGTTAGGGTGACTTATAGTGCAAAGAGAGTTCAACCAGTCGGTGTCCAAGAAAGACAAGTTTTCCTTATTCAAACTGATCAAACCCGAAGCAAGCTCATCTTTGTAGCCTTGCTTCAATGCATAGTTATCAGCCTGGTACTCATTCTTTCTCGTAACAATGTTGCTGAGTATTTGAAAAGTATTATCGACAGGCCATGAAAGGTAACTGAAAAGAACTAGGTTGACAATTGGAGATGGGCCCGCAAAACCGAATGATACAGCAAGAGGAGTGCTTTCAAAAGCTGCTGCAAATAAAACAAGATTTCCACTAACAAGTGCTACAATCAGAGCAGTGATCTGCCAAATATGGCCCAATTTCCAGTGGCCAAGCTCGTGAGCCAAAACAGCCACAATCTCCTCGGTAGTATGCTGTTCAATCAAGGTGTCAAAAAGCACGATTTGCTTGTTCCAAGGAAGGCCAGTAAAGAAGGCGTTTGAATGTGATGTACTGGTTGAGCCATCCACTTCAAGAAGCTTCTTCACAGGGAAACCATTCTTCTTAGCCAATTCCTCGATTTTTGTACGCAACTCACCTTCTCTCAAAGGAGTGAATTTATGAAACAAGGGCAAGACAACAGTGGGTACAACAGTCTGAATGAAAAGAAGTCCAACCAAGAAGGCCACACTAGCATACTTAGCAAAATCTCCACCAAAGAAGTCAACAATCTTGACAAAAATAAAAGTGGCAGCAGCATGGAAAGCTTGCACGACAACAATCTGCAACAGCTCGTCCCTGAAGAACTTAGTTCGAGTCTGTTTGTTGAAGCCCCATTTTTCCTCAATGAAAAAGTCAAAGTAGTAGGTTCTAGGAATCACGTAAATCTGCTCGAGGGTGTTTTTTAAGGCGAAGAATAAGACACTTCGCAAGGTCACACCTCCAAAAATACCACTGAAAAGTTTGAATCCACCCAAATAAGATCCAATCTTCGCAGCAAGGCCCCAAATCTGAGGCAACAAGTTGTAGTGAAGAATGACCAACTCCTTTACCAATTCGGATGTATCTCTGATCAAACTATACTTGAGACGGTCTCTGGTGTATTTCTGAGACTTGACAAACTGCTCCTGTGTGATTTCTTTCTGAACAACGATAGGTGGCTTTGGGTTGAAGGTGACCTTGTACTCTCTGTAGTTGAGATATGTCTTGAATGCATAATTTGCAACCAAAAACAGGGCACCAATGGCCTTCCAATTGATATCGTTTCTCTCAAAGAGAGACTGGCGTTAGTATTGAAGAAGGGCAGGCACTGGTACACATACAGCTAAGTACGTTGACATTTTGTTTTAGTTTTGAAACACACAAGAATGACAGATATTTATATTCATAATGTGCAACCAGTTGGAGGGGTATGCAGAACGGAGCCACTTGTCAGCCTGGCTTATCTTACTGTGTGGCGTGCGGCTCGAAAAGCATATTTTGAAGTCCTACAGATTGATTTTATGGCTAGTCGTGGTTATTAGGCCTGCTCTGCGGCTCCTTGGATATGCAGTGTGGGGTGATGAGAAGTCCAAATGTTTCAGGTGTTCATCTGGGTTGACCTACGATTCTCTACGGTTATTTGAAGAAAGTAAATGTCGACAATTTCTAAGTAGACCTTACTGGGAAGTCATTCGCGTAAACAAAATGCTAACTTCATCGGAGCGGATGTTGTCAAGAGCCGCCTCTTTTCCTTTTTGAGCAACAAAACGAATTGGTATCCCGATAGCAAGAAGTGGCAAATTTCAGTACGTTTCTGGTCAGATGGCAATTATTTTTGTTGCCATTGTTTGACAGAAGTGAAATATGTGGCTTTGAGAGGGCGGCATAATCGTCCCGCATAGAACAATGCGGCCCATGCACAAAAGCCTTCGACACCTGTCAAGTCTTGTTTGACAGGTTGAGCTTTTGACAAGAAGTTCGACCTTGACAGAGGCATTGGCGGTAGTTTCAAGGTCAATTGGTTTCGGTAAAACCGAATATTCTCTTTTACTTTTGTAGTGCTCTCGTTTGTTCGCCATCGAAAAGTGCAGCGTCTTAACCCGGAGGCTCCCTTACTTAAAGATTTGCCGCCATGTTGACAGCGTGGATCTGCATGGAAATTTGGACCTCAACTACTGGTGGCGCTAATTGCTGTCAATTGATGGTGGCGAGAGGCTTCACGGTCTATATTCATTTGTGCGTCTTGTTTCAAAGAGACCCCTGTTCAATCGAATAGTCGGCGCCACTTTTCGAACTCCAGTTACACAGTCTCCTCTCACTTGCAATTTATAAGGATTTTACCAGTTAAACACTAAAATTGATGTAATCCTCAGGAAAAGCATTGTGGTACGGGAAAAGGTCAAGATGTACTAATCATATCGCTTCGGGATGATGATCTTCACTATTACAATGCGTATATCACGTTTGATTCTCACAAATCCATGATTTGTTTCTCGCGCCGTGCCACAATCTTGTGGTATAGTAGCTCACGCCATGGTTGTGATTGCTCTAGACTCAGTGGATCACAGAACCCATGCTTACTGCAAGAATAAGCCCATGTATTATTTTCTCTAGAATTTCTTCTCGGAAAATTCTGCTTACCCAATGAGATCGAGAAAAAGATTGGCGATACAGCTGGGTCTCTAATTGTATAAGTCAGTGCCACGCGCCACACATGAACACCAACTTCCTCAATACCAACGAAGCTCAAGGTTTTACAATTCTACTACTATTTCATTTTTCGATCCCCTTAAATCATCCCCAATGGCTCCCCATGCCCAGTAGATATACCTCCAGACCGCCACACCTGCACACACCACATATCAACACTATTACTAACGATATCGCCATTCTCAAAAACCAACCTGTAAAACCATGGCTCCCAAAGATTTCCCCGCCCTTTCGTCCGAAAACGAAAAAGAGCTTGTTGAAAGACTCAGCCAGTGGGCGTTGGCCAATGGTCTCGTGATGTACCCACCCAATTGGCAACTTCACTCAGCCAACAATGCTCCAATCACCATGTTCCCCACGCCGTTTCCCAAGGACTTGTTTGAAGATGCCATGAAGGTGCAGACCACGTTTAACAAGCTTTATGCCAATGTCGTTTCCAAGGAGAAGGTGTGGCTTGTCGATTTGATCAAAAGTTTGGCGGATTTCGATAAGGACTTCACTGGAAAATTGTACGAGACATATGTCAAGGCTGTTGATTCGAGCAACGGCACTTTGCCCCAGCCATTGAGTTTAGGCGTTTTTCGTTCTGACTACATGTACAACCAGACTGACCATACGATCAAGCAGATCGAGTTCAACACGGTGAGTATCTCGTTTGGCGGCTTATCCACCAAGGTTGGGGCTGCTCAGAATTACCTCAACAAGAGCGGAGCCTACGATAACGACTACTCCTTGAAATACTACCAGCCAGATGAGGTGCCGGTTTCTGAGTCGATCGATAAGATTGCTTCTGGATTGGCACAGGGCAACTACTTCTACAATGATGAGGTCGACAACCAAAAAACGGTTGTGCTTTTCGTTGTCCAACCTGGCGAGCGCAACTGCTTCGACCAGAGACTCATAGAGTATGCTTTGCTTGAAAATCACGGCATCAAGTCGTACAGACTGACTTTGGAGGAGATTAAGGAGAAAACCACCATCAACAGCGGCAAATTGTACATCAAAGCTACCATGGACGAGGTATCCGTGGTATACTACCGCTCTGGTTACGCCCCCTCCGATTATTCTGTGAATCCAGAGAAAACATGGGATGCTAGACTCCATTTGGAAGTATCCAAAGCGATCAAGTGTCCTTCCTTGTTGACACAGCTCTCGGGCTCCAAGAAGGTCCAGCAGGTCTTGACCGACGCATCAAGAGTGAAGGAGGTTTTGGGCGATGTCTCGCAAGAAGAGCTCGATCTTTTGCTCTCAACGTTCGTCAAGATCCATCCTTTAGACGATACAGCGGCAGGCAAGGAAGCCAAAAGACTTGCATTTGAGGAGCCTGAAAACTACGTGTTGAAGCCACAAAGAGAAGGAGGTGGCAACAATGTCTACAAGGGCGACATTCCAGGCCATTTGAAGGCTTTGGACGAGTCGGAATGGGGCGCCTATATTTTAATGGAGCTCATTCATCCGCCAACCCACAAAAACAAGATCATCAAGGACGGCCAGGTGTACAATGAGGACATCCTCTCGGAGCTAGGGATCTTCGGCACGTTGGTGTTCAACGAGGAAACTGGCGAGATCAAATCCAACGAGAATGCTGGCTTTTTATTAAGATCCAAGTTCAGCTCCAGTGACGAGGGCGGTGTTGCTGCCGGATTCGGCTGTGTGGACACCGTCTACTTGTACTAAGTGATCCTCCAATTGGATGGTCCACAAGGCAGCACCCACGGTGTTGGTGAACATGGTGAGAATCGTCAGAAACGGGATCAATTCGAGTAGGAGCGCCGCAGCACCGATCCCAGTGTAGCCTCCCCTGTTCTCGATGTCGAACTTCTTGATCTGCTGCTTGTTCCAGCCCTTCAATTTGAAGTATCTAGAGTGGAGACTGCGTCCTTTGCATGGCGCTCTGATAAGCACCACAAGGCATGGACCAATGACGGGTATCATTCCGACGAGAAGGATGAGGATTTCGTGGAGAATGATCCTGGGGAGCTTGTCGACGAAAAACATTGCCACTGCTTTGGCTTTCTCAGCCTTCGTGGCTTTGGTGGTTTTGCGCCTGATCTTCATCTGAAGCACCATGTCAGCTTGACCTTCCCTGCTCAACACAGCGTCAAAGACCATGTCTCTCACGCCGGGCATAAACACCATGGATATTAAAAAGTTCAGCATCATGTTGGAATACTGCAAAACCGTAAAAAAGGAGCTCACCACCCCAAAAGGCCCAAACGCAAGAAACGAAAGGAGAGCATAGAGCGGATAGACCGATAGATACATCACGGCATAAATTCCCAACGTAAAAACGGTCTGAGGCACGATAATAGAGCCGTACAATGGCCATATGTCGGGATTTTCGAAGAAGTAGAGAATACCCTTCAGATGTTAGAAATGTAAAAAGATGAATAAGAGTCCCACAAACCTGGAAAGGATATACGTAGGTTCCTGCAGTAACTGCAAGAACAGGCGCCGTGCAGAAGCAGCAGACCTCCAGATAGGCATTAACGACACAATCGGGTAAGAACATGTTGTGAGAACAAACTTGTGACGATTGCAAAAAGATATATCGCAAAAAAATGGACGAGTCCGGATTCGAACCGGAGACCTTTCGCATGCTAAGCGAACGCGCTACCAACTACGCCACACGCCCTGGGAGAAGTGGTCCCTAGCAGGATCGAACTGCTGATCTTGGCGTTATTAGCACCACGCCTTAACCAACTGGGCCAAGGGACCAACTTGCCTGATAAAGAAGGGCGGTCAATATATGAAGGTTCGTCTTAAGGGGTGCATATAAAACCAAAAATTCAGGAACATGATGGAAAATAAGATTTTTCACGTCAATGTTGACTGCTGGCTTTCAGTAATCTATTGGGGGCTTCGTGGAGTCTCTGGAAACGTTTCAGCATCTTTTTTTTTGCAATTTAACCTACTTTTACCATTTGCTAGTCCGTAAAGCACCCAATGAGGACCAAGTGTGCCAAATATTGATCCTGTATGTAGTCGTGTTTTGCCGAGTATATAAACAGAGCCCTAATTTTCATTCATCCAAGTCCGATATGGTGTAATGGCTAGCACAGTTCGCTCTCACCGAGCAGATCGGGGTTCGATTCCCCGTATCGGAGCTTTCTTTTTTATTTTTTAATGATTTCACATTTTGATTTTTGGAAAACGATATAGATTGTTAAAAACTTCAGGATCAAATTATTTAGCTGTGCAAAGTCGTCTACCAGCCCACAACATCACAAATTCTCTCTTTTTCAACAACAAGTGAAGCAGATCTTATCAGTTCATGAACTTTGCGACCTTCGCAAGTTAAAAATCTCGATCATCAGCCATCTTAGATGCCAAGACTGGCACCCTTGGCTCTAGCGTTTCTCTGATGTCCGTGGTAGATAGTTGAGGCACCAACACCAATGAAAACACCACCCAAAACATAGAGGAAGTTCTTGAGGTAGTGAGTGTTCTCCACGGGCTCATTACCGGTCACCTCAGTAGAAGAAGCAGCAGCCAAAGCGGCTGTAGTCAAGGAAATCAAAACTTTAGAAAAGGCCATTTTTAAATACCCTAAAAGTTAGCCAGGCTCAACTCATTTATATAAGGCTGGCGACACCGGAGTGTTAGCTCATGATGCTTATAGTCCTATTCGAGAAAAGACACAGGCGAA